ACAGACACCCTCTCCTCCCCTGAATCTACATATTCAGTGTCATCCCTTCGATCTCTACCATGGCTGAAAGACTTCCCCATATCTCAGTTCACCTATGAAGTAGAAGTCCAACTAGAGAAGGCCGATCATGCATTACAAAACAATGGCACCCTATTGACTCCCAGTTCCAAACTGAAGTCTGACATTCTAGGTGGCTTGGCGTCAGAAATACAAAGCTTATCCTTCAAGTGTAGAATTTGATGACGTGGCTGAGGCATTGATTAAGAGGCATCCTTGTTTAAAGGAGCAGGGATCTGTTTGTGGCTTCTATGGGTGGAAGATTAGTATGAAGTGCAAAATGGCAAACCTCCGCACAAGACTGAGGAACATTGGCTGTCCTGAGTTCAGCATCAATTCCCTCAAGCAAAAACATGGTGCCGGAAGCTCAGGTCCAAACCAAGTGAAGAAGCTGTTGAAAGCAGAAGTTAACTACTGTCCTGCTTATCCAGTTGCTGAATAACCACCAGGTGGTAAAATAAAAAAATGGATAAAACCTTTGCCTACAGGAGGCATGCCCTTCATTTCAGAGTTCAAAGGCAGATGGCCAGCTCTTTTTTCTCAGACTGAGGTAAACTATAATTTTTTTCATTTAAAAATTATTTTTTATAATCTTGTATAGTCTTGTTTTTTAATTTCTCTAAATGTTTCAGGTAAATGCAGAATTTACTCGCATCACCACAGTACCATTGCTGTCGACTTTAATGTCCCAACTGGATCACTACTCAATGAAACTGAGTGTGTTCAGTAAGAAAGAGGGAGAAGCAGGGTGTGAAATCGGCCGCATAATGGCAACAATGGACAAGGTGTGTACCCAACCTGGTTGTTTAAAGTTGTGATAGTTGTGTACAGACTCGTAACTATTTGTCCGTGTGGTCTTTTACAGAACCCCAGCATCGAAACAAGACGGGAATGCATTCTAAAGGCACTGATTGTGTACCTCAACGAAGAACCTGCAAGTCTTGTAAAGATTTTTTTTACAAGTGATGCACTACTCAGCTTTTGATTTGCTACTTTTGCTAATTGCTTTTTCATTTTGTAAGGACATTGACCTTGGTGCAAAGAAAAAAATGGAGGACAATGTCATTGGAATATACGTCATCAAAAAGGAAGGAGCAGAGGCTATCGATCCCCCAGAGGACGGTGGCATTATAGTTGAGGCTGTTGGAAGTGCTGCAAGAGCTGGGAGATGTTGCAAATGCTTGTGTATCGTTGCTTGGCCTGATATTCTGGTTAAACTTGAGCTACCCAAAAGCCCTGAAGTACACATTTGAGGTGATGCAAAAAGTTTTGATGGAGTTTGATGGGAACAAGCTCTCAACAAAAGGGCAAGTGCTGAAAAACTAACTAATGCAATGAAAATTACATCATACATGGATAAAGGTACTTTGGACTGTCAGAAGTACCAAGTAATGGTGGACCTTCTTTTGCAGCACTACGTCGAACATTCATGCACCAAACCGGACTGACTGAGTTCAATTTTGTTTACAACTGTATATTGTATTTTTGGAATAGAGAGAAAATATGACATATTTTTTTGGAATGGGATTAGAGTGCAAGGCTTGACTTAATATAAACTACTTTATTTTCAAGACACATATTTCAAGGCAACTTAACAGTTTTAAATTAGGTGTCAGTGCACAATGCCGTTTCACAAACGTATTTTATCATTATTGTGCAAGACTAATGAACATTATTTCCGAGACAAATGTCAAGCTAAACTGAACTGTTTTAAGGTGGTGTCAATGGACTACATGCCATTTCAGAAGTCAATCAAACCTCTCTTGAGCTGTACTAACATTCTTCCAAAAATCAACATTTTGTTGATATTGTCATAAAGTACATTGCCAAGAATACTTTGATCATACACCCAAAGGCAACAATGTCATTGTTCTAAGTGAATTCAGACATGTTACTGGCCCTTTTAGTTTATTGAAGGCAGTACATCTGTTCAATCAAAAAGAAAACAAGGTTTTTACAGAGTATGCAATAGGATCTGTAGTGTTTCCAAATCTAAATGATTAGGAATTATTAACTTTGATTCAAGTGTGCTTGCCACTGTTTGGTTTCATGTGAAGCTGATTACTTATTTCTCATTGCCTGTTACCTTGGTAATAACTTGAAATGAAGTCAATAAAGTCAGCTAAACCAAGTGACTTGTGTTGTATTTATGTGACTCACTTCAGTTAGTAAAACACTATTGAACTCAAGTTGAATTTAATCATGCTAGGTAAATTCAACATAAGTAGAGGATTTAGAAGCGAACTAATAAAAACGTTATTTATAGCATTTACTCAATACAACCGTGTTAGATGTACCTAACTCTATTTAGTAGTAATCTATATTCGATCATTAATATTTACTCAATTCAGTTTCGTCGAACCGGTTTACATAACTGGGTCAAGTAAATCCAACACTTAATTTTTTTGAGTGCATCACTTTTTCCTGTAAAGTCAGCTAGCTTGATTTAGGATCTAAAAGCACCAGATACTGTACAAATGTTTCACAATTACAACTATAGGATTAAACGTTCTCCCTATTAACACACACAGTGTTTGACACAAGCCTCTGTTTCGTTTAGCTTCTCTCGAGAGTGAAACTACAGCATCCCTCATACATACTGATACAGTACCTAAAACTCAATGTTAGTGGACTAGCGTCCTGTCCAAGGGGGTGTAATTGTACATCAAGCTGCCTCACACTACAGAAGCAGGAGATAGGCTCCTGCCCTATTGGCTCAGAAAAGGCTACCTACTTCTACAGTGATTCCATTCCTTCATTCCATTTTAATCATTCAAAATGGCGCCATTGGCCCCCTAACCAGCTAAGCACCAACAGTGTCAGGGCAATATATCTCCAAAGTAATTGAGAAGCCATTAGAGACTGGCAGAGTCTCTGCTGGTCTGTCCTTTGGCATCGTCTGAGAGGACTGAAGCCTAATTGATCAGACATGAACCGGCCCTCGCAATCACAGCAGGCCGTAATGGCAGCCCATTACGACGGTGGGCATGCACACAGCTTCAGAAGCCGGGACCTTTTAGCCTTCGTTCAAACAGAGTAAGCCCAGCAGGGGGGCAGCCATTTTGGCAGACAGCTCTTTGTGGAGCAGCACCGCTCTGTGGATTCTCTTTGGAAGGTTGGCTGCTTCGGCTTGTAGAACAGAGTGCCAATGGTCGGCGCCAATGATCTAAGCAGGGGCTCTATGCTGCTACTCTGGTGGTAAGGAATTTGTTTAATCAAGCCCAGGTGAGAGGTTATGTTTTCACAGAAGTTCTGTAATTTTGTTTTTAATAAGGAGCTGAGGGTGGCTAGTTTTGAGAAGTTCAGGGAATTTTATGGCACAGGATGTTGGATATTTTTTTTAAGTACAGTCGCTAGGGAGCTAATGCTTTCGTAAGGTAAACAACACTGTCCCCAGTGCTCATGACCGAAGACCTGTCCTAGAGAGTGCTCTGTGTTCTAAAGGGAGTTCCAGCATGCCTGAGGGGCACTAACTACTAACTAATGTTATGGCTTCAACAGGAGGAGGGTGGCAAGGTGACATGGGAACTGAAGTCAGTTGTGGGAGGCAAATGGTGGTGGAATGAGTGATGGGTGTGGTGCCACTGTGTGACAGCGGTGAGGAGAGTTCCAGAACAGGTGTGTAAAGGACTGAGGGGACATTTTAGGGAGTGGGCGGCCTAAGTGACCAGAGTGCCCCTGACGACTGTCCCTTCACCTCACATCACGGCCAACACTCTGTCATGTACACTTCACTGCCTGGACTTCCCTTGCGGAAATGTTGAATGCGGACACTGCAACAGTAGAGTGTGAGAGTGTGTTCTTCTCACAGCTGTAGCACAATAATGTGTGCTCATTATGCAACATGAGTTACATACAAAGGCAGAATGAAGCGCTCAGCCATTTTCGAACACACAGAGGTAATAATAGACATGGAAGCAGAGACAGAAGCCTGAGAAGTGTACAGCGTGTAAAACAACAGGACAAAACAAGTTTTGACTCACTGTACTGTACAATAGTTCATTTGAGTTGGCGGCGCAAAAAGCTAGTCTGACACAGGCACTACTGTGCATTCATCTACTATTCTGTAATACTATTTATTTTTTCACATGAAAACAATGAAAGGTTAATAGAACTTGATGATTCATTATATCAGATGTTAGTTAAGGCCAGAGCCATATATTTAGAGAGTTAGGCCAAGTTTTAGAATTTGTAATACTGTTCTAATTCTAGACATTTAGTTATGTAGCATTGTTCCCCATGTCATGTTAATGGGGAGATAGCATGGCTGCTATAGAATGTTGAAGTGTCATGTAAATGCATCATAATGCAGAAACCGCATTGGCCCAACTCTCTAAATACACTGCTCAGGATAAGGAACTCTAGGTGTTCTAAAGTGTGGACCTCTTCAAATGAAGTGTTCCCTGTCAGGCACTAGAGTCTATTACCTTTGGTCAATTTCACAGAGCACTCTAGGTGTCACAGACCTGTCTGTACCTCTTCATCGCCCTCTCTAACCCCTACATCTGGTGCCTGTCTCAATCCACCAGGATGCTGTTTGTCTGTCTGTCTGCCTTTCCAGACGGTCAACATGTCATTTCACACACTCTGAGCAGCAGGGTGATCCACTTTAATGATCCACTTTAATGGAGAGAGAGCACAGGAAGTTCTGGAGATGGAAAGGTGAAGTTCAGAGAACTTGCCTCCGATTGACAAATGAGAATTGAGAAGTTACCTCAGTTGACCTGAGGAGTTGATGGCCTAGAACCGAAACCCCGAATTTTCAGTTGAGAAAGATAAACAACAATAAACTGCTCATCAGTCAGAGGCAACTTAAGGGCAACCTTTGAAGATGTTTTGACTGACTCTGTATTCAAACACAAACTGTAACATCAATGACAAACCTCATTATTTTGCTCTCTCCACGCTCATTTCCTGCTATTGTGGGACGGAACACTGGAACATTAAATGCACTCACCTTCAGTCTCATGAAGGAACCGTTGTTGTCCACAACTGCCCATCAGCTCACACTTGCTTTTCTCCTCTGGCTGAAAGACACAGTACACGGTAAGTAACATGCTGGTTCAAAAGGGGTGGCTTAAGTCAAGCCTGAGGCTGTAGTTAATTACAAAATAATTCAGTCCAACTTGAATAAAAATATATATTTCAACAGCAGACCAAAACCCAGACTTAAAGCTAATCTCTACTCAACAGTTCACGGGAGGCATTCGAGTTAGATTTAGAATTGACTATTTGGAGTGTAATGAAATCTCACAGGCTTGTCTACCTAATCTGAAAGGAGCATTTAGCTTGATGTGTCTCTTGTTCTTATTGAGGCTTATTCATGCCTGTTCTTCTGAATCCGTTGTTCCGGGGTTTTTGCTACAGTCCGTGGTGTGAAAACATGATGGAAAAGTGCAGCCTCATTGCTTCCTGTCAGACTGAAGCGTAAGAGACCCTGACTTAGGTAGTAGAGCTGTTACACAATGCGTTCTGTCTGTTCTGCTCCAAAGCTGCCAAACACTGTGTTACACTGACTCGCTTTGCACACATACTCCTCACAAAAATAACTGTAATTTATTTGAATGAACTGTTCTTAAAGATGCACTGTCAAACTTTTATATAATTTCAGCCAGTATTTTGAACGTGGTGCTCATGAGCCAAAATGTGTCCCCATTTCTTGTGTACTACATCATCCAATTGTGTACTACGTCATCCATTTTGTCTGATATGTTACAAATGTAGCAATTCGTATAATATCATAAGAATTTTTTCAATTTGTGTGATATGTTCCGAATGCAATTTGTGCAATATGTTACACATTTCTTGTGCTTAAGATCCCAGAGTGTATCTTTAAGATGAGAAGGACTGTCACTTAAGACCACCATTGTGTATAAGAGCAGTACTGACATATCACATAAACATTGTTGACATTCATCAATCCACTCATGTTAAATACCAGGGTCACAAGGAAATGGCAAATGGCAAATGTCTGGATAAATTATAAAAAATCTATAAACAACCCAAAGTGTTATAAGTAACTATGTGATATTTTGTAATCTTTGCTCTTACTTTCTCTAAAAATACAGTATTTCTCTTTTTTTCCATAGACATTAAGTTTGGACCATAGTAATAAAAACGAATTAAACATGTGAGCGTGATGATCGTAAGAGGAGTGAGGAATCCCATTCATAAGCCCCCTACCTCTGAATTCTTCTCCAACGCCCGGCTATCCATGGTCTCATACTCAACTTTGCGCCTCTCCTCCTTACTCTTCAGCTTCTTGTCTGGTGGCAAGAGGAAAACAAAGTGTGTTTGAGATGAGATGTGCAACAACACAACAGACTCCTGTTACACTGCAGTAAAGCCTGTGAGGAAAATATCCTTATATCATGTTTTCCTTTTCCTCTACTACAGATGTAGGATCTTAATTTGAGCCAGTCTGCTACAGCAGGAAAATAATCCTGCAGCAACAGGAAATGTGAATTATTACATGCATTATAATTAATGGACATTTTTGTAGGGGTTGATACATTTTTCGTAAGGGAAAATCAAGTCTGAAATTTCAAAGTGGAAATTACAAACTTCAGAAGCCTTTTTAAACCTCAAATACACTACACGTTTTACACTACACATTTTACATTTCCTGCAACAGGGTGATCAAATGAAGATCCTATATCTGTACATGCTGTGAACTAATGCAGCCGAAGAAGCGGTGTCTCTCAGTGCCCAAACACGTAACCTGTCTGATCCTAGGATGGGAAACGATTGGGGGGGATACATTAATCATCGTCTTACAAGACCACAACATGTCAGAAGACAGGATATACTTCAGCATTACATTGTCTGGAACTCCCTAGTGTGGTTGGGATAAGTGCTGTATTACTCATGGGGATGGCTCTGTTACGAGCACAGCAGCCAACACAGTGGCCCTGATCTAATTTCCAGTACAAATGGAAACCTCCACAAAACCACATTGTCTAAATAACAGTCAGAGTAATGCTATACAATCTGGGGTCATGCTGGACAAATATGACAATGGTCTATTTAGTTAGTAATTTTCTTGTTTACCATCACAGTAATGTAAAATGATATTGCTTCTTATAACATTCTGTTTCATCCTGCAGCAACTGGTTGACATTCTCTGCATCTCTCCCAACCGTCAAAGCAGCTCAATCTCAAAATCAATACAGCATGAAGAAACATAGAGAGGCATCGACAGCTTGCAGAGGGAGGAGAAATAGTCCACGAAATACAGAGAAGAAAGGATCTTTAGTCAAAGAGAACAGGGAAAGAAGAGAAGAGAAGAAACGGAGAGAGGAATCCATGAAGGAAGAGGCTGGCTTTGTCTGTTAGCATGGAGTTCAGTCCATAAAGACCTTCAACGGACACTGAATTACCTTTCACCTCCACACATGGAAGGCCTCCAGCTTGTAGTTTAGGGTCCAGCAGTTGCACTTCAATGGGCTTCTCTTCGTTAGGTGTCCCTTCACAGTCCACACTGTTCTCCAAGCAAGGCCCAGAGGGTAGTGGCTGTCCAAAACATACACCACTGTGGTGAATCTGACCAACCTGTAGGACAACGCTGTTCCCGGGCAACGCTGGTGTCACCCTAGGGGGCAGATGGCACTCCTCTCCTTTCTTGCACTTGAAGCAGTTTTCGTAAATGATAGTCCCCTTGTCTTCCCCCTTGTGCCCTTGTCGTGCCGAGTTCAGATCACACAGATCTGCAGGTGGTAACAGGTTTTTGGGATCTAAGGTCACGTCTCAAAGCAGAGGCCGTTGACTCATACAGATTCAGTGTGTTTGTCTTTTTACCTGGCTCTCCGGTTGTGCCGCGGTAGCCTAATAGATCAGCTGAGAGGTCGGCTAATTTCCCCTTGCCTTTCTTCTGTAGAGCTGCTGGTTCCTCATTCATCCTCTTCAGCTTCTCAGAGTTGTGATTGGTCACTGAGGCAGGTGAGGCCGTGGTCTCTGTAGTCTTCCTCAGTGCGTCAGAAGACCTGCTGGTGGGTCTGAATGGACACTTATCAATACTTTCACCTGCTGATTGTTAAAAATGGAAGGTCCTGAGGCAATTGCCAATCCTCAGTCCATAGGTTCTGTGCTTGCAGCTTAACGCATATCTAGTTATACAGGTTACGCAATCTGCACATCGGTTTAATAATTCATGGGATTCATTAATAAGAACAAACTACTTATCTAAACATGCTGCAAAGTAAACACAGGTCTGAAAATAAATTAACGCTTGGACAGGGATATTAATGGCATATCATGGCATCGGGGTGCATACACACGCACCAACCCAGTGGAGCAGACTTACCTGGTATGGCTGGCATTGCCGAGCCCGCTGTGTAGGAGAGCGGGTTCCCCTGTGACAAGATGAGGAAAGAGAAAATCTTCAATAATTCAGATTAAATGAAACCGTGTCTGCCGGTAAAGTTCCTTTCACACAATATTATTTTCTCTTTTTGTGCCAGTCTTTCAAATAATATAACTAGGGCATTGTCTTTTGGTAAAAACATTAGAGCCACTATGGCTTGTTCGCATAGAGTTACAATGACTTATTGGAACCTAAGGGCGCTTAAGGGTCTTTGTTTTCCTAGCTGAGGTTGAGTATTACAACCTGTTGATAGATGTGCACCCACACAATGCTTTATCCAATAGGACCGGTGCTGGGGAGCTAACAGAGGAATTGTTGCACTGTAAGGCTGGACCTTTACGGCACTCATGGGGAATATCTTTCAAAGTGACCGAAGGCTACACTAAAGGCAAGTCTGAGGAAACAACAGAAGTATCCCTTTTTTGTTTTCTACAGAGGTCATCAGAAATAAACCTTGATAAATTTGCCTCTCCAACCAATTTGGGATTATTCATATCTAAATGCACCACCAGCAGAGGGAGCTCTAGGTTTACAAGATCAATAAAGTCACATATACGGGGTAGAAAAAAACATTAACATCATTTGAAGTTGTTTCATCAGCGAGTGAAACAGAACCCCTTTGACCAAAGAAGAGCACTTTGTTTTAAGAGGTTTGAAATTCTGATGGTCTGAATTAGTCTTCATTAATTTTATTTTTAATATAATCAAAAGCACTGCTTAAGAAAATATGTTATTTCTATGAACAAAAAAATGACTACAATCAGCTATTCTATTCGACAGAGAATGTTTTCTGAAAATATTTTGATCTAATCAAAAGTCTCATACTCAGTGTATGAATAATACCTCTTTCCAAGTATATAAGCATGAGGTTTTACGTTGTGAATCACTTGTAAACGAGATTCATCTTCAAAGATCAAACTGAAGGGCTATCCTTTCTTATGGTTCCATAACAAGCCAAGACAGTGGAAGAAAAAAAGTTTGTAAGAAGAGAAGAAGTCAAAATCAATTTCCTGCACTCGAATGACCTCAAAGAGAGAGAAGATGGTCAATACAGCCGTTTTTATCTCAATATCAAATCATTTCTGGGTAACAATTAAGTACCTTACTGTGGTTGATTTCAATTAAAATGGTCAAAAAGAAACAAAAATTGCTTCTTAGCAAAGAGCAATTTCTCAAGCAATAATTTAGCTAGGATTGTGTCTGGGAGTGGTCTAAGTAGGGAGGGTTTTGGAACTCTCTTTCTTATTGGTCTATTAACTAATTTACCATCTGGTGATTTCACCAGACAGGCTAAAATTCCATCCCACCAAAAACAAACTGAAATTTCAGGTCTTCAAACAGCTCTTACAGTAAAAGGGAATTATGATCATTTTCACAATTTTACAGTATTTCCCAACCTCATAGTGTTGAAATATATATAAAACACAGGAAAATCACATTTTTGACTGCACTGGGCCTGTAAAAAGCCCAAGACAACCCAGACTTATAGTACAAACTCAAGATGGAGGCCCATTTAGAAGAGCAGTAGCTATGGTGACACAGAGGCACTTATAAACACACTTTACACAGAGATGGGAGTGTGTAATAGACTAAGAACAACATCTACGCACAGAAGAGCATTTCCTGACCGTATTGAGTGAGAGGACAGTTGATATCTCAAATAGCTAGTAGAGCCCCTCCTGTTCCCCCCTGCAGTAGAGGCCGGGGGGTGTCATAAAGGTACCTCAGTGAGGTGGGTACGTGGTACTCATGTCCTGGCGCAGGGGGGCATGTACAGGGGAAGCTACTCTGAAAATATAGTTCACCAAGCTACCTATTACTTCACACTGGAAGAAGTTAAGCTACACTAAATTACCCCTAAGAAAAATATAGTTTACTTAACTAAAGTTACTTTGAAAAAGTAGTTCACTACATCCAAACTACTTCGTGAAAAATGATCACACTACTCCCCAACACTGAGTAGAGCGCACACCTTGCTAGACAGACAGGCAGCAAGATTGTTAATGTTCCAACACCAATTGCTGTGAAATCGATTTCACACAAAGGGTAATGTATTGATAGCTATAGATGACAACAGATGATACCAAGATGACAAGGGTTTAATCAAACAAGCTGTTATAAAGTCTAATCGAACGCCGCTGACAGTATTGAGGTACTTTGGTAGTTGGTACTCATGAGAAAAACAAAGCAACTCTGAAGAAACTAAACATTTTGTCTCAAACTGTGTCAATTTAATGATAATGAAAGTGAGACGAACCAGTGGAATACAGTCAATTGGATGAAAATAAACGTGTTTTTCTTTTTTTTATCAAAGGGCACACGTTACATCCATAGATTAATAAAAGTGACCAGGGGAGCATCTCAATTGCATTTCCTTGATTCCTTGTGTCTTCTCCCCTCATCTCCTTCTCAAAACGCATTGGAGTAGAGGATCCTAAGTTCCTCCAATAGGTTTTGAGAAGGAAGCGAGAGAGGGCACAGGGAATAAAGGAGATTCACCCCAGCTCTCTGTACCTTGAATCCTCCACAGGTGGGGCAGATAGTGAGGAGGGTTTTGGAGGAAGTGAGTTGGGAACTACTGCAGACCTGACAGGACTCTGGGTGTTGACTGTCACTAGGGGGCGCCCCCCTGCTCTTACTCTCCTCAGAGTGGCTCTGCAGGAGCTCTGTGGTGGAGCGCCTGGCAACAGTGTCCGAGCGACCCCCGGGAGGAGCATCTTTCTCCCCCTGTGTTGACTCACATGATGGGGGTGATTGGGGTGAACTGGCTGCCTGGTCCTTAGGTGTTGTGGAGGTCTCCTGCTCCCTGGCCCATCCTGTTCCCCCCTGCAGTAGAGTCCGGGGGAGTGTCATAGAGGTACCTGAGTGAGGTGGGTAACTGGTACTCATGTCCTGGCGCAGGGGGGCATGTACAGGGGGCCAGGTCTAGAGACAGGTGAGGGGGCAGGCTGAGCAGGGAGCCAAAGTCCCCCCCCCCAGGGCCAATGTCCAGGCTACCCGCGTAGGAGGAGAAACTCCCAGAGTAGGAGGAGTGGCTTCCTGTGGCAATACCGCTGTCGGACGAGCTCTGGCGACCAATCTCCTGCAGCTGCCGGGACCGAGGGTTCTTGGCTACTGCACGGGCTCCACCCACCTGGCTGGCGGACAGTTTCTCCTTGGCCTGTAACTGGACAATGATGGTCTCTGTGGGGGCGGAGCTTTTTGTGACAGACTCAGTCCAAACGGCCAGCCGGCTGCCGATGCTGGAGTCTGATTGGCTGGTGTCGGAGGTGTCAGAGGAGCCTGATATGCTGCGGTCGTCTCCCACCACAGACCGACCATACGTGGAGGAGGCTGCCAAATAAACATAAGAAACACATTATTTATTCTATAAAAACAAAACTATTACTTATATACCGTATCTACACAGGCACATTGAGGCACTACATCAATAAAACATAACATCAGATTATCCAAGAAGTCTCGTCAGTCTCTTGTCTGACTGGTATTCACAGCCATAATACTCACAATAAATCAACAACATAATTAATATGACGCTATAGAAACATACTTTTAGAAGGTTACTTTAAAGCAACAATCACCATTACTGGGCAATGTATCATTTTCCATGGATTAGTCATGGAGAAAAATAACACTAACACTAGTTCACGTTCCATATGTTAGAGTGGTGTTACTTCCTGAAGTTTGTTTAAAGTGAAAGAAAGTGAGGTCTGTTTATGAAATGAAAGGTTGTGGTTTTCCTAGTGCTGTCGAGGGAAGATAAATGGTGGCGTGGCAGTGAAGACTGGTGGAGACCTTAAATTGGAGGAAGGTCACACTGTAATAGAATAGACGTAGAGGTACTGCACCTGTGATGCTCTGGTGAGACAGCATACTGAGGCGTTTCTCCAGCTCCTGGGCCTCATGGTTCACCCTCTCCTCAGAGTAGGCCTGGCTAGCGACAGCGTTGGGGTCTGTCGGGAGTGAAACGCACAACAGTATTCATTTTATTTTACCTGTATTTTACCAGGAGTCAACAGTCAACAACAATACGTAGTATCAATTACACACTAATGCAATGATGAACTGAGCTGCAGGACAGGAAAGAAACTGCTTAGGGAAGTCACCATGAGGCCGTTGGTGATTTTAAAACAGCAATAGAGTTCAATGGCTGTGATGACAGAAAAGTGAGGATGGATTAACAACATTGTAGTGACTCCACAATAAAGAGAAAAGTAGAATCAAAATATTAAAAACATGCATCATCCCCAGCTTCCAATTGGCTCATTCATCGCCCTTCCTCTCCCCTGTCACTATTCCCCAGGTCGTTGCTGTAAATGAGAACGTGTTCTCAGTCAACTTACCTGGTAAAATAAGGGTAAAATAACAAAAAATAAAAAATGCGACATACATAGAACATACAGGCACTGAAGTAATACTGCAAAAAAACACTGCAAAGGAAGACACTTTTTGGCCTAAATGTAAAGCCTTATGTTTTGGGCCAATCCAGCACAGCACATCACTGAGTAACTGCCTCCTTATTTTCAAGCATGGTGACAGCTGCATCATTGTATGGGCATGCTTGACATCGGCAAAGACTAGGGAGTTTTTCAGCAGAAAAATAAATGCAATGGAGCTAAGCACAGCCAACATCCTAGAGGAAAACCTTCTTCAGTCTGCTTCACAGCAGACACTGGGAGAGGATTTCACCTTTCAGTAGGACAATAACCTACAACACAAATCCAAGAAGTCTCACAGCTGTAATCACTGCCAAAGGGGTTTCTAACTTGTATTGACCCAGGGGTGTGAATACTTATCTAATCAAGGTATATTAGTGTTTTATTTTTCTTCCACTTTGATGTTACTGAGTATTTTGTGTAAATTGTTGACAAAAAATGACAATTAAATTCATTTGAATCTCACTTTGTAACACAATAAAATGTGAAGAAATCCAAGGGGGGGGGGGGGGGGGTAGTCTTTCTACAGGCACTGCAGGACTATTTTAACCTGATTTTAACACTGAAAAGGCTTTTCTAAATTAAATTAAAATATCCATGTGACATTGTTACATATACCATGACATTTCAAGTTATTAATTTAATATAACAACAAACTTTTTAATTTAGTTTTTATGACGTGATGGTGCGTTTCATAAAAGGACCTGTAGCCTTCACATGTGTAGCTTGTGGTTTATGTTGGCCAATCAAAGCAGCAAAGAGGCTCAATGTAAGTGGAGTGAGAGTTCACTAATGCAATGCGAGATTTAATACAATTCTGGAATTAAAAGTTCGCGAAATGAGAAGGAGTACGCTACAACGAGCAACCAATAGGTAGGCTGTTGTTTTATCTGAATGGGGTTGGTGAGAAAGCGCAGCATGTGACCTCAATTAGCCTAGCTAAGAACACTGATTTCTCTCTCTCTCTCTCCATCTGCTCACAACACACACCGCCCCATATAACCTCCCCAGGTGCAGCTGCAGCAATAGAGTGCCAGCTTCTCCCTCTCGCAGCATTGCTTCTCCCTCTCTAGGCTACATTTACATTAACATTTGAGTCGTTTAGCAGACACTCTTATCCAGAGCGACTTACAGTTAGTGCATTCATCTTAAGATAGCTGGGTGGGACAACCACATATCAGTCATAGTAAGTAAATTGTTCCTCAATAAAATAGCTGTCAAAGCTAGTAAGGGGGTCAAAAAAGTCAAGTACGAGTGTAAGTTCACGAAAGGGGGGATTGAGAAGGGGATGCGAGGCGGGGTGCTGTGAGATTATTTAAGATACTCTTTGAAGAGGTAAGGTTTCAGTTTTTTTCGGAAGATGGGCAGGGACTCTGCTGTCTTAGCTTCAGGGGGAAGCTGGTTCCACCATTGGGTTGCCAGGACAGAGAAGAGCTTGGACTGGGCTGAGCAGTTCAGGCTACTCCAGTCAAGGCAGGCACTGTTATATGGGATGATCAATAACATTGTGGCTGCTACAATTTAGCTAGTCTTGGCTGTAGCCGAGTTGCCTTGGCATCTCTCACTCTACCTCCATCTGCTCGCCACACACACCGCCCCATATAACCTCCCCAGGTGCAGCTGCAGCAATAGAGTGCCAACTTCTCCCTCTCGCAGCATTGCTCAGGTAAAAAAAAATAAGTTACAAAAAACACATGTATTTCGAATATCTGGATATCTGACAAAAATTATACTATTCGAATGGTGAAATTATTTCAAACCCCCATCCTTAATCAGTAGACGGGGTCGTGGTCAGTAGGAAGAAAACGGTTTGAAACTGAGTAAAACAGAAAGGTATTACCTGAACGTACTCAATAAGAACACTGATTTCTGTTTTCCGTTGCAAAACGTTTCGCTACGGTGTGCCCTACTGAACACCCAGTACTGAGAATGAGACGACCTCAAATGCTAGCGCTCTCGTTTTACTGTCACGTCACCCTCCGTCTGCGAGGGTGAAAACACCAGGCCTTTAGAGGGCTCACAGAGAACAGAGTCACAGGGGAACACCTTGCTGTTTGTGCAACACTACGTGTTTATTCATAGCACTGCTTGCCACATGGCCTCTGTGGTATGTGTAATGGAGATGGTGTGGCTACAGATTGTTAGTACTGCGCCCAGGATCTAATGTAAGTTACCTTAGTCCAAACCCAAGTTACATTGATTTCCTGGTCAACCCATCTTTTTTAAAGGGTGCTTCCCAAGGTTCATTGTCATTTTGATTGTGCAAGTAGAGTGTAAAATGACATACAAATGGCAAAGGACCTTTCACAAGAATTTCAATCTGTTATCTAGCTGTTAACGAATGGACAGTAATCAACTGGTTGTAATAGCTGACATCTGCTTCAGCTTCTTGTTAACAATCGTGTTCCCTTGCACGAGAAGGGACAGTGGGTATTTACAGGAGACTAGACACACAGACAGAGAGATAGTGTGTGTGAGAGAGAGAGGGAGAGATAGAGGGCAGAACAAGAGGAAATGTTGAACAAGAGAGAAAAAGCAAGAGAGAGAAGAGAGAATATCAAGAGAGAGCAATTACTCAAGAAAGAGGGGAAGAGAGAGATGGGGGAAGAAACAGATTGAAAGAGAGAGAGAGAGAGAGAGAGAGAGAGAGAGAGAGAGAGAGAGACTGTATAGATACATAATATGACATTTGAAATGTCTTTATTCTTTTGGAACTTCTGAGTGTAATGTTTACTGTTAATATTTATTGTTTATTTCACTTTTGTTTACTATCTACTTCACTTACTTTGGCAATGTTAACATACGTTTCCCATGCCAATAAAGCCCTTAAATTGAAATGTAATTGAGAGAGAGAGAGGAACAGAGTGTACACAGGGTGTGTGTGTGAGAGAGAGGCACCAAGTGTGTGATGGTGGGGGGGGGGGGGGGGACACAGGAATCATGGGGATGAGGTTACACACATGCTCAGAGTGATTAGAAGGGTTTGTTGCGCTCTGCTTGTGTGAACTGTGACTTTGACCCTCCCGCTCTCCCTCTGACATCGTCTCCTGCTATTTATTCTACTACGCACTACAATAATATTAGATTAGTTCAAGGCCTGATTGGGCGAGGAGATGTGTGAAACCAGGAATACCCACACAGCAAATTTACCAGTGTTACCTAGTGTTGATTTTTCAGTGTAACATTTCTAGTGTTGATTCAGGTGTTTAATGAACTCTGTAAGTGTTAAATTAACACTCATTGGTGTAAAATAACCCCAGTGTTGGTGTTAATAACCAGTGTTAAACCAAAACCACACCCATCATTAACATATTTCCCATTATACTCTATTGCAGATGATTTTTAGAATTGTTTGTTTCAATATCTATGTTTTTGCATGCATATTGATTGATTAATCCATCTTATGCTACTCAAATATAAATAACATACATTCTTCTAAACTAATCCAATCTGTTACTTGGACTTATTGCACCTGTTACTGAAATGGTTGTTCCAGTTAAGATGGCTTAGGTAGTCTAAAATCATAGTCTATCCCAACCCGGCAGTCATTCTGAATGCAGGTTGCGGATGAATAAAAATTCAAAATGTTGGATATCCCCACTCTGGCTGTATTCCAATAGGAATTACACATCACTTTGCAAGCCAGCATAATGTGACTTGCAGGCCTGATGATGGCCTGTAAACCATGAGTTTCAGGCCACTGTATTAGGGTGAAGCTAGACCCTCAAAATAAGGCCTTATGAAATGCCTGTTGTATTATGTTAAATAATTTAATTTGAATGATAACATATTTGTTTAGGATCTCACTTGGTGAAGGCCACAGGACTGAAAATGGATGAATGCAACAACCATGTCTCTGTCACTAACAAATACAGACATGCGTGGTAACTCTACTATTCACTTGAAAGGCAAGACACTCTGGGAAATATGCAAATAAGGCTTTACACTAAGCAGTGTGTTAATTTAACACTGAAAAGTGTGGACCCATATAGACACTGGACCTAGTTTAACACTCTCAGTGTTGATTTAACACGGGATAATTTGTCACAGCTGCAGACCTGTACTAATTACAGTTAGTACAGTGGTTATCCTATTATATATATATAAGGTGGCCCCGTTGTATATGCTCCTTAAGGTACAGTGGTTATCAGATTATATTCACTAATATTACAGTCTGTACCCAGCTAATCAAATGATGTATAAAACAGCTGTCAGTCATAATTCTGTTGGATCAGAGTACATTGGATGGAATCCATGCGACTCAGTGTAACACACTCTGGAAGTGGCTGCATTCCAGAAAGCACATGGTGTGGGCCACTTTAATAGCGAGGATAAATCCCACCTAAATTATGTCTCGAAGAACACTTGTTTTGATTAAGATGGCAAGTGTTCGATGTAAGTGTTTGCCAACTCAGAAGGCGAAAAGGCAATGGATAATATACCTCTACATAACTTACCTCAGAATGACCACAAGGATACATTGAGGATACATTTCATCCATCCCCATTTAAATTGCCCAGTAATTGGATAAAAATACCCCCAGCTCCCATATGTCCTGTACTGTAAATTCGCCACCCTGGTCTGTATGTGCTTGTTTGAGCAAGCCGTATATCTAGCCATGGACAACCTTCATACCTACGCATCAGTAAAGACCTTTGGTACTGACCAGGCAGGACTGACCGCAGTCCAAAAGGGCCTCTGCTAGGGGAGATGCCTCTGACGATGCAGTCGAACAGAAAGCTGATCTGCTCTCCCTCCATGGACGATAGGAAGAAGACTCCAGCCCCTGAAGGAAACACACACAGTCCAACAGCTTAATGTCACGTTCCACTCTTTAGATTGTGGTAAATGTTTCCCCACACACGTCTGGGTCAATTATAAATGGATGGAAGTAGAGTACAGTGATACATCTTTGTACTGGCCAGTTGGCTCACAAGCATAGCAATTGCTAGCACCCATTCATTTTGTTTGCAGACTGAATGGACATAATTATGGATTGTCACCCAGTCAATTGTTGTCCATTTCAACTTAGCCAGATAGTGAAATAAGAGCAACCTTGAACTTTTATAGATATTTAAAAAAATGCTGAGGTTAGACCCACTACATTCCAGAATATGTAAATAAGCTAAGGCTAAATAAAGCCTCACACAGCACAAATCAACGGTCAAAAAACGAAATCTCTGATATACAGCTCCGGTCACTCAAAATGTCAAATTTGAAGTGTAAAGGTGGTATAGGTTGAGAGGGTGTTGGGGTTAACGGGTCAGGAGTTCTCTTGCCCTCCCCGCTAAGAACCAAGTCTGCTAACCATCACCCCCAAGCATTAGACACACCAGGGAGGTCACCAAGAGGGTCCTTCTGTCACCTGGTCCTGAGACCACCCACCACAGTGCTGCCCCCTGTCACATTCTTTATGAACACTGTAAATTATTCTCAAGTCAGATTGTTAACTAACCTTTTGAATAGCCATTTTACTCAGAACAGGATGATAGATGACAACAGATGACTGCAGACAGGAGATGTTGTAACATGCTTCTTGAGTCCCCCTCAGTGTAGACATCTGAGTGGTTTTAGCTGCTAACCTCTGACCTCTTCTTAGTGTCGGCCCTTAGAAAGGAGCTCTGCGCTGCTCTGCAAAGCGCAAGAAGTATGAATGCCCTGACTTCTGCAGAGGCCGTATCACCGTAAATGCTGCACGGCCAATGCAGATATCGGATTGACCATGCAGCGGCTTTTAAGGGGAAAGTAAGCAGATTACGTTACTGAGTTTGGGTAATCCAAAAGTTATGTTACTAATTACAATTTTGGACAGGTAACTAGTAACTGTAATGGATTACATTTAGAAAGGAACCTACCCAGCACTGAATGAGCACTGAGTAACTAGTCACTGTAACGGATTACATTTAGAAAGGAACCTACCCAGCACTGAATGAGCACTGAGTAACTAGTCTCTGTAACAGATTACATTTAGAAAGGAACCTAGCCAACCCTGGCCATGATCTGACACCAGCACCAGGAGATGAATGCACTGAATGAGCACTGAGTCATATAGGAACACACTTATTACTGTTCGTCTGCGTTCAGACGACCTTGTCTCTGCTCTTTAAAAGCATTATAAAAGCCCTGTATTCCTCAATGGAAGGATCCTTGGTTTTGAGGTAGTCTCTTTGGTCAGCTGCTGTCCAATGCAGGTATCATCGTTTTAGCAGAGATTAAAATGTAGGGTGATTCTACAGACTTTGAACAGACGTTAGCTTCCAGCTACATAAAAAGCAGTAAGAATATTTATTTTCTCATTATACTGTAGCTTTGATACCCATCCCCGTTCCCATCGTCATAACATGGCTTTGAAATGTCTCCGTTTTTATATTTGACAACCCTGGGAGTTGTTATAGACAGACTTTGAGTCTTAGAGAAAGTCTACATGGGAAAGACTGAAGAGGCCAGTTCACCACCAGACACCATGCAGCAACATTACCCCCCAGCCAGAGGTCCAGTAACACTGTCGCCCCACTTCTCCATCTGCTGTGGATAAACTGTGCTGCGACAACGTATCTCTGGAATGCGTGCCCTTCAAGACACATAAACATTCAGACGTGCCCATGTATAGATCCCATGTACACACACGCACACACACACATTTTTCCCGTCTTTGAAAAAGGGATGTGCTTTCCTTTTTTTTTATGACGCATGGATTGGAAAACTCTCCCCGATGTGACCTTCCTGATATTAAGTTGCGCCTCTAGCCGTAGATTGAATGGAGCTAAATAAATCACGGATCACATACTGGAGTATCGTGTTTCCAGTGGGTCGTGTGTATTAATATTACTCTGATGTCTTCAGCTATGCGGCGTACTTTGCGTTCCTGTCTGTGTCCACTACAGGCGTTGACACGCGTCCATTCCACCTTTAACGGTTTAGTGTCTAGTCCAGGATGTAAACTGCAAAATACCATACCGCAATCACATACACATGTTACGGCCATGGAAATAAACATTAACGCACTCTCTGCTCAAGTATGACTTCATTTACTTTATATTTAGAGATGAGGTTTTGCTGGACCAAGGCTAACTGAGATTGGATTTCTATTCAAAGCTTGCAAGCTTTGTGAAACAAAATCAGCCACGACAACAAGTCCTTTATTTCATGTTGCCTACCCAAGTTACAAAATCAGATGTTTACACGTCTGATCCATCTTGCCTGACGACCAAACTGAATTCTTCAAATGCTCTATGTTCACTACATACTTCAGTCTGAGACTGCCATCGTTGAAGTCATTTGTGGTGACCTCAAAATGAGGGTTGTTGTACAAAACAAAGTCATTAGTTATTGGATCATCTCTAACCAATCAGAGTATCAAAGCCAATAACTAATTTTCAAAGGCTGCTTTACCCATGTGTTCTGGCTCTGGTCCAACCTATCGGTTTCTGGGACAGACGGTCTAGAATGGATTTCCATTCTAGAAATCGTTGGGGAGGTACTCAGATCCAGACTCTTTGCGGAGAAGAAACTAACGTCTGTGGGCGTGGCATAGTGTTTGGCCGGAGCAATGATCCATCATCCTTTAGAACATGATACTCCATAAACACAAAGAGCCATTTTTATGATTCTGTATCTCGTCAAACACCATTGATCATATTTAATGTAAGTCTGGCCCCAAGGATGAGTCAGAAAAATTCAGAAACATCCAGCAACTCTGTTTATCACTCTCAGTAGTCATAGTCCCGACACAAATGTTCTCCGCCTGAATGATGCCATCTGGCACTCTGTTCCAACAGGGTAGACTACTCAGAGAGAAAAAACCCAGGAAAGTGTAATGATCTAAATCCACTAAATGCCAAACTCATCTTTCATTCTCTCAATGAAAAACTGAAAAAAGTCCCAAAGGTGAGATGAATCACAGAAACATGTAAATTAGACCAACTTGTAGAGTGATACAAGAGGCTGAAAGCACATGCCAACATATACTGCATGTGAACATGAAACACATTTTGTAAACAGTGGTACTGAAGTCTAGTAACCAAAGTAAGAGAAAAATAAAACGAGACAAAAGCTTGGATATGTTGTTTGAATTAACTTCTGTAATTGCCCACTCAATAAAATCAAGTTTAGTCCCAAAGGTCACCATAAATAATAGCCATCATATACAGGTAACTGACAAAATAAAGGAAACACTTGAGTAAATGAGGGATACAAAGTATATTGAAAGCAGGTGCTGCCACACAGGTGTGGTTCCTGTTAATTAAGAAATTAACATCCCATCATGTTTAGGGTCATGTATAAAAAGTGTTTTCCACCACCATCAACAAAACACCAAATGATGGAATTTCTCGAATGGTGTCGCATCCCTCCAATAGAATTCCAGACACTTGTAGAATCTATGCCAAGGCACATTGAAGCTGTTCTGGCGGCTAGTGGTGGCCGAATGCCCTATTAAGATATTCCTTTATTTTGGCAGTTACCTGTATAACCCACAGAAGATTCCTCAATGCCACATTCACCTTGAATTTGAGTCTATCAAAGATCAACTGTGGGGGATGATTTCCTGTTGTTATGTACGGTTATGTACTGTATTGGGTTAGTATTCTTATGACCAAGCAGATACAGACGCTTTATTAGTTCCATGATAGGGGATGTAGCTCAGTTGGTAGAGCATGGCGTTTGCAACGCCAGGGTTGTGGGTTCGATAAAATAATGTATGTGCTAACTGTAAGTCGCTCTGGATAAGAGCGTCTGCTAAATGACTAAAATGTAAATGTAAATGTAATCAGATCATATAGTCATAGAAGTTTGTTTCAGTTCATTAAAAAAACGCTCCAAGACTAATCTTATAGGTCATTGGGCTTAGATTTAAAGGATCCACCTGCTAAAGCCTAATGTCAAACTGGAAAGCACCAATGACAACGCCATTCTTCTTTTCCGTGACACAATATGAGAGCACAATGGTTAGTAGCCGTAGTGCAACAACAGCGACGTCAATCAACTCACAGTAGCCGCAGCGCGTTCCCCCCTCAAAGACGAAGCCGTTTGGTACAGGCCCATATCTGCGCAGGTCCAGGAGGTTCCACTGGCCGATGATAACGGGGAAAATGTCCCTGACCAGGACCAGTAGGTTGTTACACAAGTGAAGGGTCGCAGGCCCGCTCTCCAACATGGTGCCTGGTAAGATAACAACGCTAAACCTGTGGACTGGACAGAGAAGAAGATAAGTTCAAAACCAGTTAAACAAAAGACAATAGAAACAAATTATTGATTTAATATAAACATATCACTCCCTCGACACAAACAATTGTTTTAGTTGTAGCCAATAACTGAAAAAGAGATAGAAAACACTATTTCATCCTAAACATTATTGCTCCAGTATGGCTTTGATTTAACTCTATAGTAAAAAATAAAGGAAAACAGTGCATTGAGAGTGAGAACAGTAAGCTGAACTAAGAACAGAGTAGAGCTCAGATCTGAAGCCCAAATGTAATCAATCAGAACTTGTCACAAACACCAATGTAATTGACTCAATATTTTTGCTAATGAGCAACACAAGAGGAACAGCAGGCATGGTCAGGGTAGGAACGTGTGTTGTCTTTTTATCTGTTTTATAAGTGTTTAAGTGTGTGTGTGCATGTCTGCATGCGTGCGTGTGTGCGTGTGTGGACTTTTGAGTGTTTTGTGTATGTGAATTTTAAGCGTTTGAGAAACAGTGTGTGAGTATGTGTACAGGTGGGAATTCCTCGATACCAAACAGGAACTACATTAAATACATGACTGATACCGGTGAGTAAACTCTGTTAGATGAGAGATTGATGGCGCCGAAGATGAGAAAATGTCAGCCAGTCCTGGTGTGTCATCGCTCAGTTTGAGAGAGATTCATGGAGTGTCATAAATCACAACAAAAGCGCTGGCACACAGCGGCACTCAGCTACGGGCTGGCAGGTGACATTTCTGCGTGTCTGGCCACAAGTCAGCAAGATGGAGGGCTGAGCACACCCCCATTCACATCGACGGGGCTGTAGTGGAGCGGGTCGAGAGCTTCAAATTCCTCGGTGTCCACGTCACTAAGGATCTATCATGGTCCACACACACCAACACAGTCGTGAAGAGGGCACGACAATGCCACTTTCCCCTCAGGAGGCTGAAAAGATTTGGTTTGATCCTTAAATCCTTAAAAATGTCTACAGCTGCACCATTGAGAGCATCTTGACTGGCTGCATCACTGCTTGTTATGGCAAATGCTTGGCCATAGACTGTTCTCTCTGCTACCGCACGGCAAGCGGTACCGATGCACCAAGTCTGGAACCAATAGGACCCTGACCCCTTCAAATTAGTGGATTCGGCTATTTCAGCCACATCCGTTGCTGACAGGTGTATAAAATCGAGCACACAGCCATACAATCTCCATAGACAAACATTGGCAGTAGAATGGCCTTGCTGAAGAGCTCAGTGACTTTCAATGTGGCACCGTCATAGGATGCCACCTTTCCAACAAGTCAGTTCATCAAATTTCTGCCCTGCTAAAGCTGCCCCGGTAAACTGTAAGTGCTGTTATTGTGAAGTGGTGACATCTAGGAGCAACAACGGCTCAGCCGCGAAGTGGTAGGCCACACAAGCGCACAGAACGAGACCGCCGAGTGCTGAAGCGTGTAGCGCGTAAAAATCGTCTGTCCTCAGTTGCAACACTCACTACCGAGTTCCAAACTGCCTCTGGAAGCAATGTCTGCACAAGAACTGTTCCTTGGGAGCTTCATGAAATGGGTTTCCATGGCCGAAGACAAGCCTAAGATCATCATGCGCAATGCCAAGCGTCGGCTGGAGGGGTGTAAAGCTCACCGCCATTGGACTCTGGAGCAGTGGAAACGCGTTCTCTCGAGTGATGAATCACGCTTCACCATCTGGCAGTCCGACGGACAAATCTGGGTTTGGCGGATGCCAGGAGAACGCTACCTGCCCCAAAGCATAGTGCCAACTGTAAAGTTTGGTGGAGGAGGAATAATGGTCTGGGGCTGTTTTTCATGGTTCGGGCTATGCCCTTTAGTTCCAGTGAAGGGAAATCTTAATGCTACAGCATACAATTACATTATAGACGATTCTCTGCTTCCAACTTTGTTGCAACAGTTTGGGGAAGGCCCTTTGGGATGAATTGGAACGCCGACTGTGAGCCAGGCCTAATCGCCCAACATCAGTGCCCAACCTCACTAATGCTCTTGTGGCTGAATGGAAGCAAGTTCCTGCAGCAATGTTCCAACAGCTAATGGAAAGCCTTCCCAGAAGAGTGGAGGCTGTTATAGCAGCAAAGGGGGGACCAACTCCATATTAATGCCCATGATTTTGCAATGAGATGTTCGACGAGCGGGTGTCCACATACTTTTGGTCATGTAGTGTATCTACCTCAATTACCTCGTACCCCTGCACATCGAATCGGTACTGGTACCCTTTGTATATAAGTTATCATTACTCATTGTGTATTTAATATTACGTGTTTTACTTTTCTATTATTTCTCTATGTTCTTTCTCTCTGCATTGTTGGGAAGGGTCTGTAAGTCAGCATTTCACTGTTAGTCTACACCTGTTGTTTATGAAGCATGTGAAGAATAAAATTGCATTTGATTTGATTGGACAGCAGAGCACGACAATCACACACACGCACACAGTGGAACACACACAAACACACACACACACACACACACACACACACACAATGGAACTCACCCACACACACACAGTGAAATATACACACACACACAGTGGAACACACACACACACACCGTGGAACTCACCCACACACACACAGTGGAACCCACACACACACAGTGGAACACACACACACGCACAGTGGAACTCACCCACACACACACAGTGGAACACACACACACACAGTGGAACACATACACACACACACACAGTGGAACACAAACACACACACAGTGGAACACGTACACACACACACACAGTGGAACACGCACACACACACACAGTGGAACACATACACACACACACACAGTGGAACATGCACACACACACACAGTGGAACACGCACACACACACACAGTGGAACACGTACACACACACAGTGGAACTCACCGACACACACACAGTGGAACACACACACACACACACAGTGGGGAACACACACACACACACACACACACAGTGGAACACACACAGTGGAACACACACACACACACACAGTGGAACACACACACAGTGGAACACACACAGTGGAACACACACACACACAGTGGAACTCACCGACACACACACAGTGGAACACACACACACACACAGTGGAACACACACACACACACAGTGGAACACACATACACACAGTGGAACACCCACACACACACAGTGGAACACACATACACACAGTGGAACACACACACACAGTGGAACACACATACACACACACACACAGTGGAACACACACACACACAGTGGAACACACACACACAGTGGAACACACATAAACACACACACACAGTGGAACACACACACACACAGTGGAACACACACACACAGTGGAACACACACACACAGTGGAACTCACCCCCCCCCCCCACACACACACACACAGTGGAACACACACATACACACACACACAGTGGAACACACACACACACAGTGGAACACACACACACAGTGGAACACCCACACACACACAGTGGAACACACATACACACAGTGGAACTCACCCCCACACACACAGTGGAACTCACCCACACACACACACACACACAGTGGAACACACACACACACACAGTGGAACACACACACACACAGTGGAACACACACACACACAGTGGAACTCACCCCCACACACACAGTGGAACTCACCCACACACACACACACACACACAGTGGAACACACACACACACAGTGGAACACACACACACACACAGTGGAACACACACACACACAGTGGAACACACACACACACAGTGGAACACACACACACACAGTGGAACACACACACACACACAGTGGAACACACACACACACAGTGGAACACACACACACACAGTAACAATAATAATAATATTAATATGCCATTTAGCAGACGCTTTTATCCAAAGCGACTTACAGTCACGTGTGCATAAATTTTTACGTATGGGTGGTCCCGGGGATCGAACCCACTACCCTGGCGTTACAAGTGCCATGCTCTACCAATTGAGCTACAGAGGACCACACACACTCGTAAAACGTGGAGTGGAACAGACACACACACACAACCGTGGAAAAGAGTGAAACAGGCACACACACACACACACACACACAAGCACACATACACAGGGCAGCTGCGATATGTTTTCCTGACCATTCCAATTACACTCCACACAATAGATCCAATACATCTGTGATTTTTTTACACTCATTTGGTCCACAACACAATTCAACTGGACTCTGTGAAGTCAAAAAATATAAATTGCCTTATTAAACTTTTAAATCAACATCAGAGCATAAAAAAGTAAAAATATATGTTAATGAATAGATATTTCCGGGTGTTGACAGGAATACGAGTAGATCCAACCAGTTATACCCCATTCCATGCTCAATCAGTCATCAAACTGACATCTAAAACACCTTGCTGGTTACTATGAAATGATTTGCTTTGATGCACATGTTATGTAAATTCATATTGCATAACACATGGGTCACCCAGAAGAGCACGTCATTTGAGAACCCTGTCAACAAGGACCTACCCGTAAGACAGTCTAGGCTGTAGCAGATACCGATGTGCCAGGTCCAGCTAAAAACAAGCTGATTTGACTCAACGCCTAACGGAGATATATACATTATATACTATCTAAATGGGCCCCCTGCAATAACCATCAGGCTGAATGGGACACGGATGGCCTAGGCTAAAATCTACTAAATGAGCAAGCTAATCCAAATAGTACAAAAATGGGGCAAAAACAATGGCTACCATAAACCAGTGCATCTCCCACCTTCTCCCAGACTATAGCGGACGCGGATGTCCCAGGCCAGCAGAGCCTCCTTGCCGTCGAAGCCCAGCACGACAACCTGGCCCAGGCAGAGGATGGCCAGCGTGTAGCCCACTCCCTCATAGGAGAGACCTGTCTCCAGACCACAGATGTCCTCCAAGGTGACGCTGACCCTCTCCCGGTGGCCCTGGGCTTTATCCGACTTGTCTTTGTAGACCAGAAGTACCAAGCAGTCTGGGAAAATGGGGAGAGAACATAAGGAAAAACTTAAGTTTCACTAAATATTGATGATCTATAATATTTGTATCCTACAACATAAAGGGTCAGTTTCCTGGACACAGACTAAGATTATTCTTGGACTAAAAAGCATGTTCAAAGGAAATCTCCTTTGAAAGTGCTTTTTAGTCCAGGACTAGGCTTCATCTGTGTCCAGGAACCTGGCTGGCAATGTTTAGTCGAAAAGCAGTCTTAGTTGTTAGTGAATGTTGAGGCTAGGTATGAGGAAGTTAACTACAACCAGAAAACGTTGTTATGCATCGAATTATCATTGTATTGAGATACCTTCCAGTGAATAGGTTGGAGTGAAAATCAATTTGAGCTTTTTACTGTATTGTACTGTATTGTATTGTATTGTACTGTATTGTACTGCATTGTATTGCATTATATTATATGTTATGTTATTGTAATATATTGTACAGTATTGTATTGTACTGTATTGTATTTCATTACCAGCTCTGCACCCTCCGCTGCAACTTGCCCATGCCCCCCCCCGCTTCTCCTTCACACAAATCCAGACAGCTGATGTTCTGAAAGAGCTGCAAAATCTGGACCCCTACAAATCATCTGGGCTAGACAATCTGGACCCTTTCTTCTAAAACTAGCCGCCGAAATTGTCGCAACCCCTATTACTAGACTGTTCAACCTCTCTTTCGTAACGTCTGAGATCCCAGAGATTGGAAAGCTGCCGCGGTCATCCCCCTCTTCAAAGGGGGTGACACTCTAGATCCAAACTGTTACAGACCCATATCCATCCTGCCCTGCCTTTCAAAAGTTTTTGAAAGCCAAGTCAACAAACAGATCACCGACCATTTCGAATCCCCACCGTACCTTCTCCGCTATGCAATCCGGTTTCCGAGCTGGTCATGGGTGCACTTCAGCCACGCTCAAGGTCCTAAACGATATTATAACCGCGATCGATAATAGACAGTACTGTGCAGCCATTTTCATTGACTGGCCAAGGCTTCGACTCTGTCAACCACCGCTTCTTATTGGCAGACCTAAATATGCCTTGGTTATTCTCAATGACTGCCATCGCCTGTTTCACCACACTTCGTCATCATGAGTTTACGTTTATCTTTTCATCAACATATTTCAGATTTTGTTCAATGATTCCACTGTGTCTGTAGTATTCTCTCTACTACAGCAGTACTTTTACAGGGATGTATTTACATGTAGTACCATAATGAAACATGTATCACCTATTTGTACTACAATATTTAATGATTGTACGAACAATGACACAGTGAAACTATCGGTTGCTTGTGTGTGGGTGATCTAAATTAACGTTTCATTGGTATTTCACAATACATTTGTTTTTTGAACCAATGATTGTGCAAGTGCAAGATTTTTTTAAAGATATGAATGCACAATGCAATGTTTTGAACATTGGACAGCCTGTGTTACAGGTGATGACCGTTTTGAGTTTTGTGTCTAGAGTTTTGAAAAATGACGTCAAGGTTCTGAAATTAGTGTCAAAGTGATTGTAAAAAACTGTAGCAGACGTTTTTATCCAAAGCGACTTACAGTCACGTGTGCATACATTTTTACGTATGGGTGGTCCCGGGGATCGAACCCACTACCCTGGCGTTACAAGTGCCATGCTCTACCAATTGAGCTACAGAGGAACCACACACACTCGTAAAACGTGGAGTGGAACAGACACACACACACACAACCGTGGAAAAGAGTGAAACAGGCACACACACACACACACACACAAGCACACATACACAGGGCAGCTGTGATATGTTTTCCTGACCATTCCAATTACACTCCACACAATAGATCCAATACATCTGTGATTTTTTTACACTCATTTGGTCCACAACACAATTCAACTGGACTCTGTGAAGTTTAAAAATATAAATTGCCTTATTAAACTTTTAAATCAACATCAGAGCATAAAAAAGTAAAAATATATGTTAATGAATAGATATTTCCGGGTGTTGACAGGAATACGAGTAGATCCAACCAGTTATACCCCATTCCATGCTCAATCAGTCATCAAACTGACATCTAAAACACCTTGCTGGTTACTATGAAATGATTTGCTTTGATGCACATGTTATGTAAATTCATATTGCATAACACATGGGTCACCCAGAAGAGCACGTCATTTGAGAACACTGTCAACAAGGACCTACCCGTAAGACAGTCTAGGCTGTAGCAGATACCGATGTGCCAGGTCCAGCTAAAAACAAGCTGATTTGACTCAACGCCTAACGGAGATATATACATGACATACTATCTAAAGGGGCCCCCTGCAATAACCATCAGGCTGAAGGGGACACGGATGGCCTAGGCTAAAATCTACTAAATGAGTTCAATTTATTACTTCACAAGCTAATCCAAATAGTACAAAAATGGGGCAAAAACAATGGCTACCATAAACCAGTGCATCTCCCACCTTCTCCCAGACTGTAGCGGACGCGGATGTCCCAGGCCAGCAGAGCCTCCTTGCCGTCGAAGCCCAGCACGACAACCTGGCCCAGGCAGAGGATGGCCAGCGTGTAGCCCACCCCCTCATAGGAGAGACCTGTCTCCAGACCACAGATGTCCTCCAAGGTGACGCTGACCCTCTCCCGGTGGCCCTGGGCTTTATCCGACTTGTCTTTGTAGACCAGAAGTACCAAGCAGTCTGGGAAAATGGGGAGAGAACATAAGGAAAAACTTAAGTTTCACTAAATATTGATGATCTATAACATTTGTATCCTACAACATAAAGGGTCAGTTTCCTGGACACAGACTAAGATTATTATTGGACTAAAAAGCATGTTCAAAGGAAATCTCCTTTGAAAGTGCTTTTTAGTCCTGGACTAGGCTTCATCTGTGTCCAGGAACCTGGCTGGCAATGTTTAGTCGAAAAGCAGTCTTAGTTGTTAGTGAATGTTGAGGCTAGGTATGAGGAAGTTAACTACAACCAAAAACGTTGTTATGCATCGAATTATCATTGTATTGAGATACCTTCCAGTGATAGGTTGGAGTGAAACTCAATTTTGAGCTTTTTAACTGTATGGTACTTGTATTGGTATTGTATTGTACGGTATTGTACTGCATTGTATTGGTATTTATATTATATTTTTATGTTATTGTAATTATTGTAGCAGTATTGTAATTGTATTGCACTTGTATTGTATGTAACATTTACATTTAAGCCATTTAGCAGATGCTCTTATCCAGAGCGACTTACAAATGGTGCATCAACTTAGGATAGCCAGTGGGACAAACCACTTTTTATATATATATATATATATATATATATATATATATTATATATATATATATATATATATAATATATATATATATATATTATTATTATTATTATTATTATTATTATTATTATTATTATTTAAAATTTAGAATGGGGGGGTGGGGGGAGGTGGGGGGGGGTAGAATGATGTATTGTATTATACTGTATTGTATTGTATACTGTATTGTATTGTATTATGTTATACTATATTGTATTGTAATTTATTGTACTGTACAGTACTTTTTTGTTGTCACGACTTCCTCCGATGCTGCCTCCTCTCCTTGTTCGGGAGGCTTCGGTCATCACCGGCCTTCTAGCCACTGCCGCATCTCATCTCATCATTCCATTTGTTTTGTCTTGTCTATTACACACACCTGGTTCATATCCCCTCATTAGTATGTGTATAAGTGTTCCCTCTGCCCCCTTGTCTTTGTGTGTGATTGTTATTTGTGAGGATAGTGAAGCTCGGTGGAGCTCCTTGTATTTTGTATTCGCCGGGTTATTTTCCCTGTGTGCCTTGTTGGTTCCAGTGCGCCTGGACTGTTTTGACGCTTTACTGCGTACTCTGTATTCCGGAATAAATCCTGTTATTCTGTGATTTACCCTCCTGCGCCTGACTCCTTCAAATCACCCATCACATTTGTATTGTATTTTACTGTATGGTATTGTATTGTATTGTATTTTATTGTAATGTATTGTACTGTATTATATTGTATTGTAATTTATTGTAATGTAATGTATTGTGTTGTATTATGTTATGTTATATTGTATTGTATTGTATTGTATTGTGTTATATTGTATTGTATTGTAATTTATTGTAATGTACTGTATTGTATTGTCTGTTCTGAGGTGGGAGGATGAGATGGGGGAAGAAGAGAGAGTAAAGGGTTCGATTCCCACGGGGGGCCAGTATGAACAAAATAAATGTATGCACTCACTAACTGTAAGTCGCTCTGGATAAGAGCGTCTGCTAAATGAATAAAATGTAAATGTAAATGTAAAGGATCATTAGAAAATGTGAGTTCTTATACTCAACTTCAGTACTGTCTAGGGAAGACTACGAGTTAAATAAATGTACCATATTGTCTGGCCTGCTTCGAAAAATATCAAAAGGACACTGACTTCACTATGTTATCCTGAAAGGCTACACTCAACACAATGATAAGTCAGTCAGCGACTTTTGCACTTTGAGTAAACCTGTTGGCAGCACCTGGCTCTTGTAAGACATGGCCAGAGCCCATAATATGCCAGGCCTACAGTGAGTACCAGTACCTCTTGACATCGTATGAAAGGCAGGGGGTATGGTTATCTTGGGTGGTTGGCATTTACTGTGACTGTACAGGCATATGGTGAAAACAGACAGTAGTTGGTCCACAGTAGTTGGTCCACAGTGCTCCTCGCTACTGACGACACGTGGTATCCCACAATAACATTGTGAGTGCATTTACTATTATATCTGAACCACAGGAGGTTGGTGGCACCTTAATTGGGGAGGACAGACTCGTGGTAATGGCTGGAGCGAAATGGGTGGAATGGTATCAAATACATCAAACACATGGTTTCCTTGTGTCTGATGCCATTCCATCTGCTCCATTCCAAGACATTATTATGAGCTGTCCTCCCCTCAGCAGCCTCCACTGATATGAACATATTTAGACACAATAACTAGCCTATAGTACAGTAAATGTCACGGATTCAGCCGAGGCTGCTCCTCCTCCCTGCTCGGGCAGGCTTCGGCATTCGTCGTCCCCGGAGTACTAGCTGCCACCGATCTATGTTTCGGTGTTTGACTTGTTGTGTCTGATTGTGTACACCTGTTCCCCATTATGTTGTATTGTACTCCCTATTTAACCCTCTGTCGTGCATTGTGTGTTGTGTGTTATTGTTTGTGTCATCGACAGTGTACAGGTCGTTCATTTTCTCCATTGTTTGGAGACGTTGTATTTCACTGGCGACTTTTATTAAAAGTACGGTTTCCAGTAGCTCCGTGTCCTGCGTATGACTTCGCCTACCGCATTTCACTGTCGCCGTTTTCTGACAGAATAACACACCACCATGGAGTCAGCAGGATCGGTTGTGCCTAGGGGATCACTGGAGGAGCGCATTATCCTCCAAGAGGCCAGGATCCAGCACCTGGGTACCACCATGCATGAAGTGATGGACACTTTGAGGCGATGGGAGAGGGGAGGTTTGCCCACACCTCCTCCTACGATGCAACCACCATCAGCCATACCCATCGGTCCATCTCCGGAGTCCAGTGGGATTCGGCTCTCGCTCCCGAGGGCTTATGATGGCACCGCGGCCGGGTGTCAGGGGTTCCTACTCCAGGTGGAACTCTACCTCGCCACCATTCACCCGTCGCCCTCGGGATACGAGAGCGTGTCCGCCCTCATCTCCTGTCTGTCCGGCAAGGCGCTGGAGTGGGCCAACGCCGAATGGGGTGGGATAGACGCAGCTACGGTCAGCTATGCGGAGTTCACCCGCCGCTTCAGGGCTGTATTCGATCATCCCCCAGAGGGTAAAGCGGCGGGTGAGCGTCTATTCCACCTTAGACAGGGGAGGAGGAGCGCGCAGGAGTTCGCGCTGGACTTCCGGACGCTAGCCGCCAACTCGGGATGGAATGAGAGTGCCCTCATCGACCACTACAGATGCAGCCTGAGGGAGGATGTGCGTCGGGAATTAGCCTGCAGGGACACCAACCTCAGCTTTGACCAACTGGTGGACATTTCGATTCGCCTGGATACCCTGTTGGCTACCCGCGGACGTCCGGATTCGGGGCCGTCCATTCCATCCCCCAGCACTTCCGAGCCGACCCCTATGGAGCTCGGGGGTGCTGGTGCTAGGGAGACTAGTAGGGAGACCAGGAGGGAGGCTGTCCCCTGCACCAACTGTGGCCGCAGAGGACACACTGCTGGTCGGTGCTGGGGAAGGTCTCCTAGGAATCGAGGCAGTGGGCGACACACTGATGAGTCTTTCCCGGTGAGTAGGCACCCAACTCACCCAGAGCTCTCTGCTGATCATATGTGTATTAAGTGGTGTTTCCCGAGGTTTCCCCTATAAGTTAGGGATTCCTACCGTGCCTGTTGATGTGCCCTTCCCCATTCATGCCCTAGATAGCCGCCCGTTGGGGTCTGGGTTGATCAGGGAGGTCACGCCGCCTGTCCGGATGAGAACGCAGGAGGGTCATGAGGAGATAGTACGGTTATATTTGATTGATTCTCCTGCGTTTCCAGTGGTGTTGGGGCTTCCCTGGTTAACCGCTCATGACCCCAACATTTCATGGCAGCAGAGAGCTCTCCAGGGATGGTCTGATCAGTGTACTGGGCGGTGTTTAGGCGTTTCCGTAGGGGCAACGACGGTGGAAAGCCCGAAACCAAGTTCCCGCCTTGCATATTCCACCTGAGTACGCCGATTTGGCTCTCGCCTTCAGTAAGAGGAAGGCGACTCAATTACCACCTCATCGCCATGGGGATGGTGCGATAGACCTCCAGGTAGGCGCTGCGCTTCCACGTAGTCACGTGTATCCTCTATCTCAGGAGGAGACGGCCGCTATGGAGACCTACGTCACCGAATCTTTGAGACAGGGTTACATACGGCCGTCTACTTCCCCTGCTTCCTCAAGTTTCTTTTTTGTAAAGAAGAAGGATGGGGGTTTACGCCCGTGTATTGATTACCGTGGTCTAAATCAGATCACCATCAAATACAGCTATCCTCTTCCTCTGATTGCTAGCATGACGGAGTCATTACACGGGGCGCGATTCTTCACAAAATTAGATCTCAGGAGTGTGTACAATCTGGTGCGCATTAGGGAGGGAGATGAGTGGAAGACAGCATTTAGTACCACCTCGGGTCACTATGAGTATCTCGTCATGCCATACGGGTTAATGAATGCTCCTTCAGTCTTCCAATCATTTGTGGATGAGATTTTTCGGGACTTGCATGGACAGGGTGTTGTGGTATATATTGATGACATCCTAATATATTCCGCTACACGAGCCGAGCATGTGTCCCTGGTGCGTCGAGTGCTTGGTAGACTGTTGGAACATGACCTGTATGCGAAGGCGGAGAAATGTCTGTTCTTCCAGGAGTCCATCTCCTTCCTGGGACATCGGTTGTCCGTGTCAGGGGTTGAGATGGAGGTTGACCGCGTTTCTGCCGTGCGTAATTGGCAGACCCCGACCACGGTAAAGGAAGTGGAGCGCTTTTTGGGTTTTGCCAATTATTACCGGAGGTTTATCCGGGGCTTTGGACAGGTAGCGGCTCCCATTACCTCTCTGTTAAAGGGTGGTCCGGTGCGCCTGCAGTGGTCAGCTGAGGCTGATATGGCGTTTAAACGCTTGAAGGACCTGTTTACCTCGGCTCCGGTGCTGGCGCATCCGGATCCCTCTTTGGCATTCCAGGTGGAGGTGGACGCTTCCGAGGCTGGGATCGGCGCTGTGCTGTCTCAGCGCTCGGATACGCCACCTAAACTCCGCCCCTGTGCTTTCTATTCTAAGAAGCTCAGTCCGGCGGAGCGCAATTATGACGTGGGGGATAGGGAGCTGCTGGCTGTGGTTCAGGCCCTGAAGGTGTGGAGACATTGGCTTGAGGGGGCTAAACACCCTTTTCTCATTCTGACTGACCATCGTAACCTGGAGTACATCCGGGCAGCGAGGAGGTTGAATCCTCGCCAGGCAAGGTGGTCGATGTTGCTTTCCCGCTTTGTATTTAAGCTCACATATATACCAGGGTCCCAGAACGCTAAGGCAGATGCCCTGTCCCGACTATATGACACTGAGGAGAGGTCCATTGAGCCCACTCCCATACTCCCGGAGTCGATGCACCGGTGGTGTGGGAGTGGCAATCGCGGTGGTTACGTTCCGACCCTATTCCTCCACAGTGTCCAGAGGGTCGGAGGTACGTGCCGCTCGAGGTTCACGACCGGTTGATATACTGGGCTCACACGTCACCCTCCTCTGGTCATCCGGGTATTGGTCGGACAGTGCACTGCCTTAGTGAGAAGTACTGGTGGCCAACCTTAGCCAAGGACGTGAGGGTTTATGTTTCCTCCTGCTCGGTGTGCGCCCAGTGTATGGCACCTAGACACCTGCCCAGGGGGAAGTTACAACCCCTACCCGTTCCACAACGGCCGTGGTCTCACCTATCGGTGGATTTTGTTACGGACATTCCCCCCTCTCAGGGAAACACTACTATATTGGTCGTTGTGGATCGGTTTTCCAAAGCCTGCCGCCTCATTCCCCTGCCAGGTCTCCCTACTGCCCTACAAACTGCTGAGGCCCTGTTTACACACGTCTTCCGGCACTATGGGGTGCCTGAGGATATAGTGTCTGATCGGGGTCCCCAGTTCACCTCTAGGGTCCGGAGGAACGGTGCTGGGTCCCCAGGAGGGACATTCTAGATCCCTCCTTGTTGAGGAACTTCCACCGGAGTCATCCGACTCGCCCTGCTCTGTGTCCTCCTGGCCGTCCCCGAGGCCGGGGTCGGCGCACGGCTGGGGCCGCGCGTCAAGGGGGGGGTACTGTCACGGATTCAGCCGAGGCTGCTCCTCCTCCCTGCTCGGGCAGGCTTCGGCATTCGTCGTCCCCGGAGTACTAGCTGCCACCGATCTATGTTTCGGTGTTTGACTTGTTGTGTCTGATTGTGTACACCTGTTCCCCATTATGTTGTATTGTACTCCCTATTTAACCCTCTGTCGTGCATTGTGTGTTGTGTGTTATTGTTTGTGTCATCGACAGTGTACAGGTCGTTCATTTTCTCCGTTGTTTGGAGACGTTGTATTTCACTGGCGACTTTTATTAAAAGTACGGTTTCCAGTAGCTCCGTGTCCTGCGTATGACTTCGCCTACCGCATTTCACTGTCGCCGTTTTCTGACAGTAAAGGTAATCACTTCCAATCAGAAGACTATAGTTTAAATTATTTATAACAACAGACACATTTGACATACAACTAAATTTCCTACATTGTATTTAAAGCTTAATTGACTGATGTATGGTTATAAACCAGTTATAAACACAAATACAGCAGCTGCCTCTTTAAATGTAGCCTAGTACCAGAACACATTAACTTTAATACGGAGCCAGCCAAAGTTCTGAATGAGCAACCCGAAATTCGAAACTATCAGCACAGTAGCCTATGCATGGAAAACATTGAATTCCATGGCATGCAGTAATGCAACTTTGTTTCCAGTTGCTTTTCATTTGGGATGTTTAGTAGGCTAAATGACAAGCATAAAGTTATTTATCGATTTACTACGGTAGTAAATAGACCACAAGCAGTAAACTTTCGAATTGAATTGTAGGCCTATTAAATTACTGTATTAATTTAACAAAGAAAAACGATGTAAAGTTGTGCGCTGATGTTATTCCTGCAACGTGTGTTACGCGCTTTCGAATATAGAACAGTGAGCGACGTACCTGCTGCAGGCGATGGCTTGCGGAGTACGACCCACCTATCCTTCCACTGAAAGAGATAACGGTACAACACAGACGCAAACGTTCAAATACCGTATAACTTTCACGCACATTCAAATTCAATGAATTACTTTGTTTTGTAAACACCTTTTTTCCATCTCTGAATTTGACATATCCCTCCACGACAACTGAATCCGTCATCTTCAGTCATGGTTCCAAACCAAACAGCTGCAGTGTCGCTGTCCGGTGCCCGAATGAGGGGTCACTTTCAAAATAGCTTTAGCCTACTGGTGAGGGGCACACACTCACCCCTTGTACACGCGATTCGTGCTCGCCCACAGAACCGCACCCACCCAAACTTACAGAATTTTCCATGTGATTTTTCAACAGGTGATTTCTCAACATGTGTTTTCAACAGGTGATATTAATCCAAATATATCAAATAAAATCTACTTGCAATTGACTATGAAATTAATACAAATTAATAAATAAGTTAATTGTTATCATTTGGGGATGGCTCACTGACAATACATAAATAATTAATTGTTAAAACACAGGTACACACATGTTTAACAATATTTACAATGTTTATTCAGTCACAAAATAATATTTATTTCACAGTTGTGTAAAAATCACTATTCTTCCACAGTAGGACACCAGCTGTAACGTCCATATAATAAGGCTGATGTCCATTCATTTAGACTTGTGCTTGCGCTTGATAATTGTGTTGATCCAGTTGACGTATTTAACGACTTTGGTGTAGACCCCAGGCTTCCCAGTCTTTCCACAGCCATCACCCCAGCTGATTACTCCATACAGGAAGCTGACGTCATCCTTCACACAGGCCAGAGGTCCTCCTGAGTCACCCTGGGGGAACAAGCAGACACACACACAAACAAACAATGAGTCATCCCCTTGAAACCTTATATTACACAAACCAATTGCATTACAACGCAACACATTAACAATGTGGGAAGTTAACCATAACCTTTCATTAAAGATTAAGCAACTGAAGGCCATGCAATTCATATAGCAGCCTCCTCCATATGCATGTTCTGTGAACCCAACCCACTATACTCAAACTGAAACAGTCCAGAGGCTCCTCTATATATTATACTGCATCACTCATTACACATCCTTATAACATGGCTGACTGTACAATGTACAAGAAAACATATATTTTCTTCTATTCTAATCTAATTTGGGTACAGAAAAGGAACCCTAGGTCTATGCACTCTTACCTGGCAGGCATCCACACATCGGTCGGTCCCGGCACAGACCATGTTGGAGGTCACATGGTTGCCGTAGACTTCAGGCTGGATACACCTCTCAAACGGGACGATCCTCACCCCAGCCTCCTGCAGGTTGCTGTATTTATTTGCCTCTTTAGAAAAATAAGACAAATAAATCCGTAATGGCTGGGATAGACGTATATACTGTAAACATTAGGTCACATGAAAAAATGTCCATCAGTGAGACATTAATGTAAAGACATGAATAGGACAGATGGACCTATATGGAAGCGCATGTGATTGGATATAGTGCATTGATGTCTATTTGAGATGTTACATTGTTGTGATATGAAGACATTCAAGACTGTAATGACATATCTGACCAGTACAGTACCAGTATCTGACCACACAATACACCAGAGGACTGTTTTTGACACAACACTTACTCTCATGCATGTGGCCCCAGCCAGTGATCTGACAGCAGTAGTAGTCTGGGAAGGTCATGGCTTTATCCGGCAGGCAGATTGGCCGTATAAACTGATTCCTTCTCACACAGCGGCCATCTTGTTTTTTCAGTTTCACCAGAACTGTTGGAATAGAAACATTCTTATCATAACACAGGAAAAGGTGAAGAAGAGTTGTATTTATTTAATATTTCTTTAACCTTGGTATGTACATTGAGAACCACTGTTCATTTCCTATTATTACGACCTGGAGTGGGGGAGTCATCCAAAAAACGCTGTAGGATGTAGTGTTCTCGTAATTCAAAATCTTGACTCATGAAAACACAGAACGATTGCTGCACTATTGAATAATGTATGTTTTGCTTTCAGAAAATAGCTCTTGTAAAATTTGGAAAGATCAGCAAAGACAAGAAAAAGGGAGAGAGAAGTGTGAGTACCTTTTGAATGGACACAGGTGCTCAGAGACAAATGTGTGTGGGTGTGTCTGTGTGTATTCACATTAGAGACAGCTGTTCCAAGATGCACAACTGTGAGCACAGATCATGCACTGCAGACTGGCAGACTGGGGTGTGTGAGTGTGTGTGTGTGTTCCTTTGTGTATAGCATGTGCTATAATGTAAACTTTGTGTGTGTTTGCATGTGTATGTGTATGCAAATAATCAGTAAGAGTGAATAGGAGCGTGACATAGTATATTTACCAATGTCATGGAGAGTTGGATTGAAGACAGAGAAACGCTCTGGAAAGACGTACTTCTCCACTCCAAAGGTTTTGGTGTCAGAAGTCGTAATGTTGAACTTATGCTGACCGAGAATCACACGAATCTTCGACACAAGGGGACTGAGGACAGAAACACATTATTCTCATCATTCTCTGTCGCTAGTAGTGGACCATTATGTCGCATGAAATCACTTGAATACAATTACATTTCATTTGTATGATATTAATGCCTTAAGTCCTGGGGCCGTCTGTATCAAGTGTCTCAGAGTAGCTGGTCTAGGATCAAGTCCCCCTTGTCTATGTCATTTTAGTCATTGTGATTTAAAAAATGGTCAAACTGAGCCTAAGCTGAAAGGTTTAAACCTAAAGATCCAAGACCATAGTAACGAGGAATCTTCAAGGAAAATCCTCCTATGGCGCTTCAGTTTTTCCTCAAACTCAATGTTTGTGTCTAAATATACTGTAGTTTGTGTTCATAAAATGCCAATGTTAAGGTCAAGGTCATGAGTGTAAATCATGGCTGTACTGACGACTTCTGTCTGTGAGAAAATGTGAGTGTCACGACTTCCGCCGAGGCTGCCTCCCCTCCTTGTTCAGGCAGGTTTCGGCGTTCGTCGTCACCGGCTTACTAGCTACTGCCGATCCCATTCTCATCACTCCACTTGTCATTTCTTGTCTTGTCAATCACACACACCTGGTGCTCATTCCCCTAATTAGTATGTGTATAAGTGTTCCCTCTGTTCCTCTTGTCTTTGTGAGTGATTGTTTATTGTGAGAGCAAGTAGCTCGGTTGAGCTACTCTTCTATGTGTACTTGCCAAGGTGGATTATTTTCCCTTGTATTAGTTTCGTTTTCACGCTGGGAGCGTTTGATTTATGTAAACGGAATAAACTCTGGACTTTATGTTGTTTTACCTCCTGCGCCTGAATCCTTCATTCACAACTCGTCACAGAATCACTCACCCGCTGAATGGAGTCAGCAGGAGAAGACCGCATGCCTGGAGTTGTGGCAAGGGTCCAGGAGCATTCCTCGATGCTGGCCAGCTTGGGGGAAGCGATGGATCGGGTTCTTCAGGTAGTAGAATGCCTGTAGAGGAGAGGATCCAATCTATCGAGACCAGCTGGTCAACCGGATCCAGCCACAATACACCCCAGCCCCTGGAGGGATCCAGATATCCCGGCCACCGGCGTTTGATGGGACGGCAGCGCGATACTAGGGATTTATGCTCCAACTCAAGCTGTATTTCTCCAGCATCAGGCCGGCGCCACTGGAGCGGGAGAAGGTATCCGTCCTCGTTTCCTGCCTTTGTGGGAGAGCCCTGGAGTGGGCCAACGCGGTGTGGAACGAGAGAGGTGCCACGTTGGAGGACTACGGGGAGTTTGCTCGCCTCTTTCGGGCAGTTTTCGATCACCCGCCTGAGGGTCGAGAGGCGGGCGAACGACTGGTCCAACTGAGGCAGGGGACAAGGACCGCACAGGACTACACGCTGGAGTTCCGGACGCTGGCAGCGGGGTCCGGGTGGAACGAGCGGGCCCTGATCGACCATTTCCGATGCCACCTAAGGGAGGACGTCCGACGGGAGCTAGCCTGCCATGATGCCATGCTATCGTTCTCTCAACTGGTGGACATGGCCATCCGGCTGGATAATCTGCTAGCAGCCAGAGGACGTCCTGGTAGGGGTCTGCCCGTTCCCACTCCGGACGACTCTGACCCCGAGCAGATGGAGCTGGGGGGAGCTGCCGGTCGAGAGAGCGCAGGAGGACAGCGACAGTGCCACTCTGGTGGTACGAAGGGACAATCCACCTCACGTCGCAGTCAACGTTCTTTTGGGTCTGGAGGCAGTAGGCAGGGTACTCACGCATCACCCCAGGTAACGAACACCCAAACTTGTTCAGAGCCCTTTGCGGCTCACTGTACCCTATCTATCTCCTTTCCCGATCACCTGGTAGTTTCCCAGTGTAAGGCGCTAGTCGATTCAGGCGCAGCTGGGAACTTTATGGACAGGGTATTTGCACGCCGTCAAGGTGTTTCATTGGATCCCCTATCCATTCCACTCCCCTTCAGAGCACTTGATAGTCGACCATTAGGGTCCGGGTTGGTTAAGGAGCTTACTGTACCAGTCACCATGATTACACAGGAGACACATGTTGAGCAGATCACCTTTTTGATTATTGAGTCTCCTGCTTACCCTGTAGTCTTAGGTATTCCGTGGTTAGCCCTTCCCCAACCCCAATTTTTCATGGCCGCAGAGGGTTCTTACGGGGTGGTCGAGGGAGTGCCCGGGTAGGTGTCTAGGTGTTTCCGTTGGTGCGACCATGGTGGAAAGTCCAGACGGTACTCCCACCGTGCGCATTCCCCCCGAATACCATGATCTGGTGCTCGCGTTTTCCAAGACACAAGCGACTAAATTACCACCTCATCGGGAGGGGGATTGCGCGATAAACCTTCGGGTAGACGCTGTACCTCCCAGGAGACATGTATATCCCCTGTCGCAGGCTGAAATGGAGGCTATGGAAACATACATCACCGAGGGACCGCGCCAGGGGTATATACATCCCTCCACTTCACCTGCTTCCTCTAGTTTCTTCTTTGTGAAGAAGAAAGATAGCGGTTTACACCTTGATTGTTAACCACTGAATAAGGTGACGGTACGATTTAGTTATCCTCTTCCCCTCATTCCTTCAGTGATTGAGTCAATGCATGGGGCCCGTTTTTTCACCAAATTAGACCTCAGGAGTGCCTACAACCTGGTGCGTATTCGGGGAAGGGGATGAGTGGAAAACAGCATTCAGCACAACCTCAGGGCATTATGAATACCTGGTGATGCCCTACGGTTTGATGAATGCTCCATCCGTTTTCCAATCCTTTGTGAACGAGGTGTTTCGGGACATGCTTGGTCGCGGTATGGTGGTCTACATCGATGACATCCTGGTGTATTCCTCTACGCACGCCGAGCATGTGTCCCTGACTCGCAAGGTACTGGTCCGACTGCTGGAAAATAATATTTATGCCAAGGCAGAGAAGTGTGAGTTTTACCAGCAGTCAATCTCCTTCCTCAGATACCGCATTACTACCACAGGTGTGGAGATGGAGGGAGATCGCATTTCAGCCGTGCGTAATTGGCCGACTCCAACCACGGTGAAGGAGGTGCAGCGCTTCCTTGACTTTGCCAACTACTATCGGAGGTTTATTCGGGGCTTTGGCAAGGTCGCAGCTCCCATTACCTCCTTGTTGAAGGGTGGGCCGTCCCGGCTCTGTTGGTCTGCTGAGGCTGATTTGGCCTTCAGTAGATTGCGGGATCTATTCACATCCGCCCCGGTACTGGCTCACCCCGACCCATCACTACCGTTCGTAGTAGAGGTGGATGCGTCCGAGGTAGGGATAGGCGCTGTCTTATCTCAACGCTCGGGCACGCCACCCAAGCTCCGCCCCTGTGCCTTCTTTTCGAAGAGGCTGAGCTCGGCGGAGCAGAACTACGGCGTTGGTGATCGGGAGCTGCTGGCTGTTGTCCGAGCTTTGACGGTGTGGAGGCATTGGCTCGAAGGGACGAAACACCCTTTCCTCGTCTGGACAGACCACCATAACCTGGAGAACATTCGGGCAGCGAGGAGGCTGAATCCTCGCCAGGCCAGGTGGGCCCTCTTCTTCACCCGGTTTGATTTCACACTCTCATACATTCCGGGTACGAAGAACGTGAAGGCAGACGCACTGTCTCAGCTGTATGACACAGAGGAGAGGCCCAGAGACAACACCCCCATACTCCCGGCCTCAGGCATTGTGGCGCCGGTAGTATGGGCGATGAACGCGGATATAGCGCAGGCATTATGCACAGATCCATCTCCACCACAGTGTCCAGATGGGCTGCAGTACGTGCCTACGCTTATCTGTGATTGTCTGATCTACTGGGCACACGTGTGACCCTCCTCGGGTCATCCAGGTATCGGTCGTACAATGCGCTGCCTGACCGAGAAGCACTGGTGGCCTACCTTGGCTAAGGACGTGAGGGTGTATGTTTCCTCCTGCTCAGTGTGCACCCAGAGTAAGGCACCTAGGCACCTCCAAGCGGGTAAGCTACAACCTTTACCAATTCCACAATGACCATGGTCTCACCTTAGTATTGGTTTTCTTACTGATCTTCCCCCCTCCCAAGGTAACACCACTATCCTGGTCGTTGTGGATCGCTTTTCGAAGTCCTGCCGCCTCCTTCCTCTGCCCGGTCTCCCCACGGCCCTACAAACTGCGTAGGCTCTGTTTACTCATGTCTTCCGGCTCTACGGAGTACCAGAGGATATAGTGTCCGACCGAGGTCCCCAGTTCACGTCTAGAGTCTGGAAGGTGTTCATGGAACGTCTGGGGGTCTCGGTCAGCCTGACCTCTGTATTTCACCCCGAGAGTAATGGGCAGGTGGAAAGGGTGAATCAAGATGTGGGTAGGTTCCTGCGGACCTATAGTCAGGACCGGCCGGGGGAGTGGTCGGTGTTCCTGCCATGGGCAGAACTCTCTCCGCCACTCCTCCACTAACCTAACACCCTTCCAATGTGTTTTGGGTTACCAACCGGTCCTGGCACCGTGGCACCAGAGCCAGACCGAGGCTCCTGCGGTGGATGACTGGTTTCGGCGCGCGGAGGAGACTTGGGACGCTGCCCACGTTCGCCTCCAGCGCGCCATGTGTCGTCAGAAGGCGAACGCTGACCACAACCGCAGGGAGGCCCCGGTTTTTGTACCGGGGGATCGGGTCTGGCTCTCGACCCGGAATCTACCTCTCTACCTGCCCTGCCGGAAGCTGAGCCTGCGGTTTGTGGGGCCGTTTAAAGTCCTGAGGTTGTTACTCCCCCCTGATTACCCCTCGTTTCATGTGTCTCTCCTCAGGCCGGTGCTAGCTGGTCCACTCCAGGAGTCTGAGGTGCGGGAGGTTCCTCCACCTCCTCTGGACATCGAGGGGGCCCCGGCGTACTCGGTCCGTTCCATACTGGATTCGAGGCGTCGGGTGGGGGGCCTTCAGTATCTCGTGGAGTGGGAGGGGTACGGTCCGGAGGAACGGTGCTGGGTCCCAAAGAGGGACATCCTCGATCCCTCCCTGTTGAGGGGTTTCCACCGTCGCCATCCAACTCGCCCTGCTCCGCGTCCTCCTGGCCGTCCCCGAGGCAGGGGTCGGCGCACTGCTGGAGCCGCGCGTCAAGGTGGGGGGTACTGTCACGACTTCCGCCGAGGCTGCCTCCCCTCCTTGTTCGGGCAGGTTTCGGCGTTCGTCGTCACCGGCTTACTAGCTACTGCCAATCCCATTCTCATCACAACCCGTTCCACAGTGAACTGACTCATAGTGGCATAAAATACAAATAGGTGATGACATAATCAACACAAATGGATGCTCCAAGTAGTAGTGTAGTGTCTGTCTATATCCTCTAATTCTACAGTACCTGCGAAAGAAGCAGTGTGCGGCAGAGACCACCCAGCAGGACGAGACCAAGGTGCCCGCGCAGAAGCTGTCATCTCCTATGTAGAGGGCTGCCATCCAGGGATGGGTACCGGGCAGGGCAGAGCTGCCACCCAGGATGCGACCCCTGGCCACCGATATCCTCTTCTTATGCCTCTTCCCACACACAGGCTTCTTGGCTGGCTTGGCGTCGTTCGTTTGGTTGGTGTCAGGGAGGACGTTAGGTGGCGGCAGTGGCACCGGTACCACTCTCCGTGAAGAAGCTATGTGAGGGAACAGGGAAGCAGACTTAAAGTAACTGTCCAGTGAAAATCTCACTTTTAAAAGTTTGTATTCTGTTAACTCATACCCAAATAATGTTGTCCTATACTCGTATTTGTGGCCAAAGCATAATTTGGAGAAAAAACACTCCCACCTCAAACTTGAAACTCAAACAGACCGTTTCACAAATGCTTGCTATTTCCTTGTAGAGTATGATGTTATACTCCTGAGGATAATGAGCTGGCCAATCAGCGGTATAGAGGATAATGAGCTGGCCAATCAGCGGTATAGAGGATGAGCTGGCCAATCAGCGGTATAGAGGAGGATGAGCTGGCCAATCAGCGGTATAGAGGAGGATGAGTTGGCCAATCAGCGGTATAGAGGAGGATGAGCTGGCCAATCAGCGGTATAGAGGAGGTGAGCTGGCCAATCAGTGGTCTATTCGCTTTAATATTTTAACTCAAGACTTTTCAGCTTCTCATTTTTTATTAATTTGTAAAAATATGATTCCACTTTGACATTATGTGATATTGTGTGTAGACCAGTGACCAAAAAAATCTCAATTTAATCCATTTTAAATTCAGGCTGTAACCACAACATTTTTAAAAAGTCAATGGGTTTGAATACTTTCTGAAGGCACTGTAGGTCATATTTCATACAAATCTGGAATGACCAAATTCACATATAAATGATCATTGAAAGCAAGTCTAAGAAGCCGTACATGAGCCCTATTTCTATGCTTCCCGTTCTTAAGTTTCATTTTTGCATCTTTTAATTTCATTTTTGTACACCAGCTTCAAACAGCTGAAAATACAATATTTTCGGTTATGGAAAATATATTCCACAGCAGTCTAGTTGGTACAATGATTCTCTACACTATACTTGCTTAATTTGTCACATAAACTGAAATTAGGCAAACTATTAGACTTTTAGCAACCAGGAAATGGGGGAGCGATTTCTGCATAGTGCATATTTAAGTTTAGAAGGGCTTCCTTTCAAATCAGTTCACATTCACTGTGAAGAGCACTGATTTCATTGTCAACATGTGATAGGGTAATACTAGTCATAAACCTGTACTACTAAACTACTACTAGTAGTAGTGCTACTACTGCTACTACTACTACTAGTCGTACTAGAACTACTACTACTGCTGCTACTAGGCTTATTACTACTACCTACCAGCATGCACCCACAATTGGAGTAACTGGGCTAAATACAGTTAATCGCTACATCCAAGGCAGCTAAGTAGCTAAATACAGTTAATCGCTACATCCAAGGCAGCTAAGTAGCTAAATACAGTTAATCGCTACATCCAAGGCAGCTAAGTAGCTAAATACCGTTAATCGCTATATCCAAGGCTGCTAAGTAGCTAAATACAGTTAATCGCTACATCCAAGGCTGCTAAGGGTACCTCTTCTTATCATTTTGGACTTTACCAGTGGCTCATTTCCCCCTGAAAAGACAAGCAACAAATATAACTGTTTCATATGAAGTATTGAAAATAATCCCAATAACGTATTGACAGAAATTCAGCATAGCATACCATTTGCCACCCAACAATTATCATTCAATGAATTGGTGAAATAGCAGTTGGACAAAAATGTTTTGCTTTCTGTGCATACCCACGACATCATGACATCGATATTACCGAGCCAGGTTGGCCGAGTTACTGCAAAAGCATTTGGCACTTGACTTGACACGTTGATTCTGAGTGATACTCAATTTCCTTATCTTAACTTACACATTTTTCTTAACTATTCTGACTACCTTTCTATTCAAACAATAGGCTACCTGTGTCAAATTACTATTCTGACTTTCTATTCCAACAGTACCTGTGTCAAGTTAGCATTCTCTTCTGAGTGGCACAGGAAAGGTAAGTGTAGTATAATTCCAAGAATCTTATTTTTATCACTAATAGGGCCATCACTAATATAACTCATTATAATACAGTAGGGGAAAGTGGGGTAAGTTGAGCCATTTTTTACATTCAGCATCATTCCCTCAAGGGAAATATTGTATTCATTCTAACAAAGATACCTACATATATTTCAGGATGTTGTGTATCCCTGGAAATAATCAGAATTCATGTAAACATTACAGTTTTGAAAGCATAGCTTTTCCCAAAAAAGTGGTCTCTTGGCACAACTTATGGGGTAAATTTAGCCGCGGGACAGGGTAAGTTAAGCCGCCTACAAATTGATGTACTGAATGAAATATTACCACTACATTTTAAAAAACATGTCTATCTTTATTTCCCAAACACAATTCAACACAACCACGATCACTTGTTTGTCTTTTAATTATTTTAAGCATATTTTAATAGAGGATTAAGACCTAACAAACACTTTGTACTTTTTAAAACACTTTTGACATAGGCCAGGCCCTGTTATTACCTCATATCCCAGCGATAATGCCTTGCATTACTCCTGGGAAGAAAACATTTCAATTAGTCTCAACTTGCCATTGGCTCAACTTACCTGATGGCCATTTACCCCAAGGCAAACGTTTTGATTATATTAACTCACACAGCTACAAGGATACACTTTCATGCTAGGTTTAGGACCTCATATTGAAGTTTATAGACACCAACTGATGTAAATAACAAGTTAGCATTATCTACAAAAATTATCTAGATACTTTGGTTTAGATACAAGTATCATGAAACACAATAAATTCATTTGACTTGTTGATTATTTTATGTTTTTACCTAACTTGCATACCACTTTTTCCATGTGCTTTCTTCCTTCACAGACTCCATGAAATGATGACCTATTCCTAAATATTTGGTCAAATTATACATTTTGTGTGTGGTTTCCTAGAAACAAGGATGGCTCAACGTGGCTCAATTTATTCCACTCTCCCCTAAAGGTTTTAAGGGAGTGCAAATTGAAGACTGACAAATGCATATTTCACCCTCAATCAAGGATAAAGCCCCTCACGGATCAGAGAGACTCGCTGAGCTCTATAATTTGTATCAGATTCATTTAACCCAACTCTATTTTCTAATGTAAACTTTAACCACAAAGGTATAATCAATCAATCCTTTAAATGGAGTCATCTAACAAGGTTATTCATAGTGAGATGACAAGGGCATTTCTCAAAATGACCAGATGAGTACAGTGGCAAATTGTCATGACGATCAATCTCACTCAAAGAATAATATAGATTTGGAAAACCTCACATTTGGCCCCCCTTGGGAGCATGTTCCCATACCCCACTCACTTTTTTCCAGTGTCAACCAGCTTATCCAGTGCCCCTTACAGGCCTGTTACACTGGACACATAACGTTTGCCAAGCATGACAACACTCCCATTGTTTTCAAAGAAACCTGGGCGTAAGTAGTGCTGCTCTGTCAGAAGCTTGCTCAGCTCAGCGTAAAATAACGCTCTGGTTCTATTTTCAAGATTTCGACACGCAGCTCACGCCCGAGAACACTTGATAAAGTGTTTCACGCTGGGAATAATTAAGCCTCCAGTGTAGCAGCTAAAAAAACAAACACTGCTTTCATGACGCCCCCTGTATAGCACTCACGTTACTCACATAAACGCATGACACAAGACGGAACGTCACAGTTCTCCCAGGAGATGGCTCTGTCGTTGAGGGTGTAGCACCACGGCATCCTGTCCCCGTCTGGGTTTCTGGACAGTGGACATGTTATGCTGGTGTTATGACCCACTTTACAGTAACCCGGCCAGGACCCCAAAAGAGCAAGCATAAACACAGTGCCTGTGATAGGTCAGGCGCAGGAGGGTAAATCACAGAATACAGAGTTTATTCCGTAGTACAGAGTTACGCTGGATAGCGTCAACCAGTTCATATCCCCTCATTAGTATGTGTATAAGTGTTCCCTCTGCCCTTGTGGGTGATTGTTTAATGTGAGGAGAGAGTAGCGCACTGGAACAAAACAGGCACACTGGGAAAATATACCCCGGCAAATACAAAATACACATAGCTCAACCGAGCTACTCTCTCCTCACATTAAACAATCACTCACAAGGACAAGGGGGCAGAGGGAACACTTATACACATACTAATGAGGGGATATGAACCAGGTGTGTGTAATAGACAAGACAAAACAAATGGAATGATGAGATGAGGAGCGGCAGTGGCTAGAAAGCCGGTGATGACGAACACCGAAGCCTCCCGAACAAGGAGAGGAGGCAGCTTCGGAGGAAGTCGTGACAGTGCCAAGGGAAAAATCCCAAGATGGAAGAAACCTCGAGAGCAGTGGTATTCAAAGTCGGGGTCGCGACAAAATTGCAGTGGGGTCGCATGTACCATCGTTCTCACAACAACAACAAAAAAATGTCTTTTTTTTTAGGAACAAAACATTCAGAGTACAGATTATTGTATGGGACAATATTCAAACGTTTTGAGAAAGATAATTTGAAAAATATAATTTTATTGAGTAAATGTATTTATTGGTTTCTTTTCATTTTGATAAGTATACAGATTTTAAAGGTTGTGTCATTATATTTGGGGTGGGGTGGGGTCGCCAGAAAATCTTGAGGAAAAAAGGGGGTCTCTGCTGAAAAAGTTTGAATACCACTGAAATACACCATGCACACTGTTCAAGAAGAACCAGAGTCAGAGGGGGAAGTCTCTCCTCTGGCTGTACCTGGTAGAATGACCATATCACCATCAAAACCAGACAGACAGATAGGGGGAAGTAGAATGATAGTGCTGTGATAGCGGTGGCATGAAGCATAGACAGACTTACACTTCTGTTTTGGGTTGCCAGATTGGTTGGAAATAAAGACTACATAATTCTACACACACACACCTGCAGTAGGAGTGTTCCCCCAAGCCCCTGAGGGTGGCGCTCTCCACAGTGCCCATGTGGAGCTCATCATGTAGCAGGTCAGAGTTCCACGGCAGACAGCGGGCACCAGAGACGGTGGTGCCCACCACGCCACGGTAGTCTGTGCCCTTGTTGTCATAGCACTCTGCCTCTGGAGCTGAACAACAAGAGATGTGAGGGATGAGAAAGTACGTTTATCACCGTTTCCTGTGTTTAATTGTTTGTTTATGAGAGCGTGTGCGTGACTATCAGTTTGCTTTATTTTGGAATATCTAAATGTATATAGTCTACATGTAGCCACAGAGTAAGATAAACATAATAAAATCTATTCTCAATCTCAGTGAATGACCTCTGGCTCAGACTAGTAATGTTAAGTTAAAGCTATGCTAAGCTAGGCTAAGCTAGCAATGTAAATGTAACTGGGTTAGCATGTAGCGGTTGGACTAACCGATGCTACAGTAGGGTCCACTGTAGCCAGGCCTGCAGGCACACACCTCCTCCCTGGTGGCTGTGATGAGTCGGCACGTACCATCGTTCTCACAGGGGTTCTCACTGCAGACTGAGGACAGTTACACACTACATCAGGTATATTACATTATGACAAACCACAGCACTGGGATCAGTTCCTACCTCCCATTTCCTGCCTCCCACCATTGCATGATAAATACAGGAGCTGGTCTTGCATCAGTGCTTTAAGGGTGTTAACTTGGACCAAAACAAATATGAAGCAGTAGACTACCTACATTAGAGCACTTATGGTTCAGGGTTGCAAAAGTAGAGTGGGAGAAATGCATTCACAAACACAGACACCGGTGTAGTTGTCTGATTTGACTTGTAGTTCTTGGTGTGGCCTTGTGGGGACAGTATGAGTGGGAAAAGCCTACATAACAGGCTGGGAAGGTGGGGGCAGGAAAACGCAAGTCCTCCTGTACCAAACTAGATGAAGGGGAAGTTCTGCCAGTAAATGGTAGCGCAAAATTCAATTTGTTTGCATAACCTTATACAAATCATTCATACCATGATAAAACAGGTTTCGGTCTAACGTGCTCTCCAAAGTGCCTTTCTCTTTTGTAAGAGCAAGTCCCGTAAAACGTCCCCCATTGAGATGAAAGCCCCTTCAGCGAGATTTGGGCGTGTCCCAAACTCTGCTCCTGAGTCACGTTGAGTCATGTAATCTGTCTTTTCATCTACAGCAAGGTTACACTTGTAACCATGGAGAGTAGAATCTAAGAGAAGGCCAACCCTGCTTTTGGTGTCTCTATAGCAGGGATGGGCAACTGGCGGCCCCCCTTTTGTAGGCCCACGGACCAATTGTCGGGGTCTCAATTTACTGTTGAGAGTTAGAATAATAGAATACACAAGGTGCAATTTCGAAATTTGATTGTGCATCAGCAGTCACTCAATTAGCCCATGTCAGCTAAATTGTTTTAGATTGGTAAGTTAGTCTAACGGCCTGCTATCTAAACTTGTAGGAAGCATGGTCGAATTGCCGACCGGGGTGGGGCCCATTTATCATCAGTTATCAAACTACAAACATTTGCCTCCACCCTATGGCAAAATGGGTAGAATTGCAGGAAATTAGCATTAAAACTGCAACATTTTCTCTCCACCCCATGGAAAAAAGAGTAGAATTGCATGAAATTAGTTATAAAATTGCAAAATCTCTCTGCCCCATGGCAAAATGTGTAGAATTGCAGCAAACTTGCTTTAAAACGGCAACATTTTCTCTACGCCCCATGGCAAAATATGCAGAATTGCAGGAAATTAACTTTAAAACTAAAATGTTTTATCTTTGCTGTCACGAGGGGTGCCGCTAAAATGTTTTGCTTGCAAGGTGGGGGGTGGTACGCAGCCCCTCATGATGACTTCAGTTTTTTTGTGGCCCCCACCCCTATCAAAGTTGCCCATCCCTGCTCTACAGGAACAAACATGAGGTGATTTGTTTTTTGGCTGGGAGGTTTCTCACATGCGTTCTGAGGGGCCTTAAAAGGAGAGTGGGAGTTCAGAGGGTTTCTCAAGACCTGATAGCCTCGCCCAAACCGCCCCCAACCATTAAGGCATTGAGAAAACAGTGTGATGCTTGGCAACACAGCCGAGACTAAAGCCTGATCATCTGAGAGGTGTGGGAGATTGAGGAATGTCGGGATGGGCGGAATTGAGACAGAGATTTACTAGAGAAGCCCTCATACTCCAAAGGTTTTAGGGGCTCCTCGGGGGCCCATTCAGGGACCCATTCCCCTGCCAAGAGACAACACCTCATCAAGTCTAAGGTTCCACTCGCATTTTTAACAAAAGATAACAAGAAAAAAAAAACATGGCAAGGAGTGGCTAAAGCAACAAAGGATCAAAGAAAGCATGACTCGTACTGGTATAGCGGACTCTCTCACAGGAGATCTCCCCGTCCACACATGTGCACCGTTCCACATTACGGAGGTGGATCCTTCCCCAGGATTCTCCGATGTCATAATATCTCAGGTGTATGGTTTCATAGCACTTCCCTGACAAAGGGGAGAACAGAGAGATAAAAGGTAGTTGGGTGAAATGTGAGAGGAGGAAGGGAACAGGTCAGTGAGGCGTTAGGGGGCATCGTTTGTGTTTGGCACTGTGAAGAGCAAGATATGGGTCAATGCACTATTTTTCAAAAGGGTAGACAGTTTCTCTACCACCTCCACACCTCTAAATTTAGAGTTAAACCCCATTGGCAATTGACTCTAAGCTGAATGTATAACTGCTTCAGTTTCATTGAAACTGCTTTGAAACACAAGTCCATATAGAATGTATGATAGTGAGTGACTCACTCTGATCACAGTGCCTCCCGGTGAAGCTTTCTGGACAGGAGCACTCAAAGGAGCGTCTGTGGGGGACCAGAGTGCAAATGCCGCCATTTTGACATGGATTCACCCGACACAGGTCTGTAAATCTGCGTGATGAGTGGACGAACACTAAAACACATCAAACAAATACACAAGGAACTATATTAGTGAAAACATTAGTAAGAAACAGCATAGTACATCAGTAACATCAGAATATAATTTAGTATATACCAATTTTGGCGTGATTAGCTTTAAAGCTGTAAGAGAACATTTGGAAAATGCACTAAGATTCAGAGTGATTAAAAAATAGTCAATGCTTATGCATAACACTACTGTAAATAGCAGGAAATGTGTATTTAAGATATTATTAGATACATACACAGAGACAACATAGACTTTGTAGACCATGAAGTCCACAGTTTCTACAGAAACGACCTCTTACCACTGGGTTGAGTGGTCACAAGTGCACAGTATCCCCACAGAAAGTCCCGATCAAAGTTGTGCGTCAGAGAACACCTATGATTCAGAAATAAATACATTCCTGTAATGCATACGCAACAGTTTCAACCTGGCCATTGAGATCAAGGAGTCAGATAGCAAATCAACAGAGCATTGATCACTAGCAGTCACCTGGGTAAGAACTGTGAGCATACTCAAATGAACCCTTATTCCTCAGAAACCTGTACGTATATCTCTGTAAGTAGTACTGTACGTACAGGATGTGGGTTTGAAACTGATACCATATTTAATCATGACTGTCTTTAATATTTATTGAGGAGAAGGTCCTAATAGCGTTGCACTTCTTTAATCCTTTTTGGGCAAAAGTATATCAGCTTTAATATTTCAGATAGATTGTATCTTCCATCAATGTAATTGTCTGCAACACTTCCAATCCCCCATATGTTTATTTGTATTTTATTGATACATATATATATATATATATATATATACATATACATACATACACATATATATACATATATATACATACATACATACATACATACATACATATACATACATATACACATACATACACACACATATATATACATACATACATACATATATACAGTGGGGGAAAAAGTATTTAGTCAGCCACCAATTGTGCAAGTTCTCCCACTTAAAAAGATGAGAGAGGCCTGTAATTTTCATCATAAAAAAATCCAGAAAATCACATTGTAGGATTTTTTATGACTTTATTTGCAAATTATGGTGGAAAATAAGTATTTGGTCAATAACAAAAGTTTCTCAATACTTTGTTATATACCCTTTGTTGGCAATGACACAGGTCAAACGTTTTCTGTAAGTCTTCACAAGGTTTTCACACACTGTTGCTGGTATTTTGGCCCATTCCTCCATGCAGATCTCCTCTAGAGCAGTGATGTTTTGGGGCTGTCGCTGGGCAACACAGACTTTCAACTCCCTCCAAAGATTTTCTATTGGGTTGAGATCTGGAGACTGGCTAGGCCACTCCAGTACCTTGAAATGCTTCTTACGAAGCCACTCCTTCGTTGCCCGGGCGGTGTGTTTGGGATCATTGTCATGCTGAAAGACCCAGCCACGTTTCATCTTCAATGCCCTTGCTGATGGAAGGAGGTTTTCACTCAAAATCTCACGATACATGGCCCCATTCATTCTTTCCTTTACACGGATCAGTCGTCCTGGTCCCTTTGCAGAAAAACAGCCCCAAAGCATGATGTTTCCAACCCCATGCTTCACAGTAGGTATGGTGTTCTTTGGATGCAACTCAGCATTCTTTGTCCTCCAAACACGACGAGTTGAGTTTTTACCAAATGACCATATGACATTCTCCCAATCCTCTTCTGGATCATCCAAATGCACTCTAGCAAACTTCAGACGGGCCTGGACATGTACTGGCTTAAGCAGGGGGACACGTCTGGCACTGCAGGATTTGAGTCCCTGGTGGCGTAGTGTGTTACTGATGGTAGGCTTTGTTACTTTGGTCCCAGCTCTCTGCAGGTCATTCACTAGGTCCCCCTGTGTGGTTCTGGGATTTTTGCTCACCGTTCTTGTGATCATTTTGACCCCACGGTGTGAGATCTTGCGTAGAGCCCCAGATCGAGGGAGATTATCAGTGGTCTTGTATGTCTTCCATTTCCTAATAATTGCTCCCACAGTTGATTTCTTCAAACCAAGCTGCTTACCTATTGCAGATTCAGTCTTCCCAGCCTGGTGCAGGTCTACAATTTTGTTTCTGGTGTCCTTTGACAGCTCTTTGGTCTTGGCCATAGTGGAGTTTGGAGTGTGACTGTTTGAGGTTGTGGACAGGTGTCTTTTATACTGATAACAAGTTCAAACAGGTGCCATTAATACAGGTAATGAGTGGAGGACAGAGGAGCCTCTTAAAGAAGAAGTTACAGGTCTGTGAGGGCCAGAAATCTTGCTTGTTTGTAGGTGACCAAATACTTATTTTCCACCATAATTTGAAAAATAAATTCATTAAAAATCCTACAATGTGATCTTCTGGAGAAAAAAATTGTCATTTTGTCTGTCATAGTTGACGTGTACCTATGATGAACATTACAGGCCTCTCTCATCTTTTTAAGTGGGAGAACTTGCACAATTGGTGGCTGACTAAATACTTTTTTTCCCCACTGTACATACATCCATACACACACACATATCCTTTTTTAAATTATATTTCCCTTCATTACTTTCCAACCCCACCACCCCTTCCCCAATTGGAGTAAACTAGTGAACAACAATGCTTAGGCCTCTACTTCCAGCCCATACATACTATATACATTTTATGGACACAGTCAAATTCTACAATAATTATATTTTGTTTGTTTTTACTCCTGAACTTCCTCTGATCATTTTCATGATGTCCATCTGGTTTGCTTCTACAGTGAGGGAAAAAAGTATTTGATCGCCTGCTGATTTTGTACGTTTGCCCACTGACAAAGACATGATCAGTCTATAATTTTAATGGTAGGTTTATTTGAACAGTGAGAGACAGAATAACAACATAAAAATCCAGAAAAACGCATGTCAAAAATGTTATAAATTGATTAGCATTTTAATGAGGGAAATAAGTATTTGACCCCTCTGCAAAACATGACTTAGTACTTGGTGGCAAAACCCTTGTTGGCAATCACAGAGGTCAGACGTTTCTTGTAGTTGGCCACCAGGTTTGCACACATCTCAGGAGGGATTTTGTCCCACTCCTCTTTGCAGATCTTCTCCAAGTCATTAAGGTTTCGAGGCTGACGTTTGGCAACTCAAACCTTCAGCTCCCTCCACAGATTTTCTATGGGATTAAGGTCTGGAGACTGGCTAGACCATTCCAGGACCTTAATGTGCTTCTTTTTGAGCCACTCCTTTGTTGCCTTGGCCGTGTGTTTTGGGTCATTGTCATGCTGGAATACCCATCCACGACCCATTTTCAATGCGCTGGCTGAGGGAAGGAGGTTCTCACCCAAGATTTGACGGTACATGGCCCCGTCCATCGTCCCTTTGATGCGGTGAAGTTGTCCTGTCCCCTTAGCAGAAAAACACCCCCAAAGCATAATGTTTCCACCTCCATGTTTGACGGTGGGGATGGTGTTCTTGGGGTCATAGGCAGCATTCCTCCTCCTCCAAACACGGCGAGTTGAGTTGATGCCAAAGAGCTCGATTTTGGTCTCATCTGACCACAACACTTTCCCCCAGTTCTCCTCTAAATCATTCAGATGTTCATTGGCAAACTTCAGACGGCCTTGTATATGTGCTTTCTTGAGCAGGGGGACCTTGCGGGCGCTGCAGGATTTCAGTTCTTCACGGCGTAGTGTGTTACCAATTGTTTTCTTGGTGACTATGGTCCCAGCTGCCTTGAGATCATTGACAAGATCCTCCCGTGTAGTTCTGGGCTGATTCCTCACCGTTCTCATGATCATTGCAACTCCACGAAGTGAGATCTTGCATGGAGCCCCAGGCGGAAGGAGATTGACAGTTCTTTTGTGTTTTTTCCATTTGCAAATAATCGCACCAATGGTTGTCACCTTCTCACCAAGCTGCTTGGCGATGGTCTTGTAGCCCATTCCAGCCTTGTGTAGGTCTACAATCTTGTCCCTGACATCCTTGGAGAGCTCTTTGGTCTTGGCCATGGTGGAGAGTTTGGAATCTGATTGATTGATTGCTTCTGTGGACATGTGTCTTTTATTCAAGTAACAAACTGAGATTAGGAGCACTCCCTTTAAGAGTGTGCTCCTAATCTCAGCTCGTTACCTGTATAAAAGACACCTGGGAGCCAGATATCTTTCTGATTGAGAGGGGGTCAAATACTTATATCCCTCATTAAAATGCAAATCAATTTATAACATTTTTGACATGCGTTTTTCTGGATTTTTTTGTTGTTATTCTGTCTCTCACTGTTCAAATAAACCTACCATTAAAATTATAGACTGATCATTTCTTTGTCAGTGGGCAAACAAAATCAGCAGGGGATTAAATACTTTTTTCCCTCACTGTATATGCCATATTTTTCTAACTGTGCTCTTTCACAAAAGCTCTCAACCTATAACCTATATACTTATTATGGACACAGTATGCTTTACATTAGTTATCTTGTTGTTATTAGTTGTTGTTATTAGTCCCATCCTTCAGCTCCATTCAACACCTCCCATCTATCTCTTAACACCATCCATATTGGATTTCTATTTGCCATATATTTTTCAACTGTACTGTGATGTTTTACAAAAGTTCTGAGCCTTTTTATTCTCATTGTTTCTACAGATCGTAAATTGAAAAAAGTATTATTATATAATTGATCGATTGACTATGACTTTTCAGATCACCCAGTAGTGCTATCTGCAGGGTTAGCTCCAGGTAAATATTGCAATCCTTTAGCCATTCCTGGACCTGTGTCCAAAAACAAGCTACAAATGGACAGTACCAAAACAAATGATCTAATGATTCTGTCTCTTCGCAGCAAGATATGCAGAGCTGGGAAGATTGTATCCCCCATATAAATAACATTCTATTGGTAGCAAGAATTTTATATAATAATTTAAATTGAAAAATTAGAAGTTTTGAATCCAGTGTCGTTTTGCTTATCAATTCATAAACACTATGCCATGGAATCGGTACGTCAAAAATCTCTTCCCAACTATTTTGCAATCTATATGAGACGGCTGTCAATCCTTTGGTCCTTAAATTAAACTGGTATACTTTTTTATTTATCACAATTTTCTTTAACCAATTATATTCTTTAATGCAAGGCCGACAGACAAGTTCCTTACTTTTTCCCCCTTCCACTTTCCTTTTCCATTTTTGCGGTAATGCTGCAATTATTTGGTTGTAATTTTGGGTAGAGCAGACATTTCCATATGTTTTCGTTAGCTGCATGTGCGACATAACTCCACCAGTCCTACCGATAATATAATTTACAAAGATTATACCTTTTTTAAACATTTTGTCAAAAAATAAAGGTTTTTTATCAATTAGTATATTTGAGTTTAACCACAATACAGTCGTATGAAAAAGTTTGGGCACCCCTCTGAGGCTGCATAATAATTTACTCTGTCGTCACAGAAAATGATCACAGTGGCATGCCATTCATTTTCTAATAAAAGCTGAGTACTGGGGTATTGTCCAGACAAATATTTTTAGTGTAGCAATATTAAGTTGTATGAAATTAAATCAGATGTGAAAAATAGGCTACGCAAAAATTTGGCCACCCGTGTCATTCTGTTGATTTGAATACCTGTAACTACTTAGCATTGATTAATTGGAACACACAATTGGTTTGGTGAGCTCATTAAGCCTTGAACTTCATAGACAAGTGCATCCAATCATGAGAAAAGGTATTTAAGGTGGCCAATTGCAAGTTGTTGTTCTCTTTGACTCTCCTCTGAAGAGTGGCAACATGGGGGCCTCAAAACAACTCTCAAATGACCTGAAAACAAAGATTGTTCAACATTATGGTTTAGGGGAAGGCTACAAAAAGCTATTGCAGAGATCTAAGCTGTCAGTGTCCACTGTGAGGAACATAGTGAGGAAATGGAAGACCACAGGCACAGTTCTTGTTAAGCCCAGAAGTGGCAGGACAAGTAAAATATCGAAGAGGCAAAGGCGAAGGATGGTGAGAACGGTCAAAAACAGCTCACAGACCACCTCCAAAGACCTACAACATAATCTTGCTGCAGATGGTGTCACTGTGCATCGTTCAACAATTCAGCGCACTATGCACAAGGAGAAGCTGTACGGGAGAGTGATGCGGAAGAAGCCTTTTCTGCACACACGCCACAAACAGAGTCGCTTGAGGTATGCAAACGCACATTTGGACAAGCCAGCTTCATTTTGGAATAAGGTGCTGTGGACTGATGAAACAAAGATTGAGTTATTTGGTCATAACAAGGGGCGTTATGCATGGCGGCAAAAGAACACAGCGTTCCAAGAAAAACACTTGCTACCCACAGTAAAATTTGGTGGGGGTTCTATCATGCTGTGGGGCTGTGTGGCCAGTGCCGGTACTGGGAATCTTGTTTAAATTGAGGGTTGCATGGATTCCACTCAATATCAGCAGATTCTTGGGAATAATGTTGAAGAATCAGTCACAAAGTTGAAGTTACGCCGGGCCTGGATATTTCTACAAGACAACGACCCAAAACACTGCTCAAAATCTACCCGGGCATTTATGCAGAGGAACAAGTACATCACGGTTGACAACTCCGTTGTGTCCTCCTCCCAGAGTGCAAAGAGCCTTGGCGTGACGCTGGACAACACCCTGTCGTTCTCCGCTAACATCAAGGCGGTGACCTTATCCTGTAGGTTCATGCTCTACAACATTCGGAGAGTACGACCCTGCCTTACACAGGAAGCGGCACAGGTCCTAATCCAGGCAACTCGCTGTTGGCTGGGCTCCCTGCCTGTGCCATTAAACCCCTACAACTCATCCAGAATGCCGCAGCCCGTCTGGTGTTCAACCTTCCCAAGTTCTCTCACGTCACCCCGCTCCTCCCGTCTGGATTACTGCAACTCGCTGTTGGCTGGGCTCCCTGCCTGTGCCATTAAACCCTTACAACTCATCCAGAATGCCGCAGACCGTCTGGTGTTCAACCTTCCCAAGTTCTCTCACGTCACCCCGCTCTTCCGCACACTCCACTGGCTTCCAGTTGAAGCTTGCATCTGCTACAAGACCATGGTGCTTGCCTACGGAGCTGTGAGGGGAACGGCACCTCCGTACCTTCAGGCTCTGATCAGTCCCTACACCCAAACGAGGGCATTGCGTTCATCCACCTCTGGCCTGCTGGCCCCCCTACCTCTGCGGAAGCACAGTTCCCGCTCAACCCAGTCAAAACTGTTCGCTGCTCTGGCACCCCAATGGTGGAACAAGCTCCCTCACGACGCCAGGACAGCGGAGTCACTCACCACCTTCCGGAGACACTTGAAACCCCACCTCTTTAAGGAATACCTGGGATAGGATAAAGTAAACATTCTACCCCCCCCCCCCCCCCCCCCCCCCCCCCCCCCCCCCCCTTACCCCCCCCCGACCCCCCCCCCCCCCCCCCAAAAAAAAAAGAAAAAAAAAAGAAGTAAAAAAAGAAAACAGATTGTAAAGTGGTTGTCCCAATGGCTATAAGGTGAATGCACCAATTTGTAAGTCGCTCTGGATAAGAGCGTCTGCTAAATGACGTAAATGTAATGTAAATGTAATGTTCTGGAATGGCCATCCCAGTCCCCAGACCTGAATATCATTGAGAATCTGTGGGATGATTTGAAGCGGGCTGTCCATGCTCGGCAACCATCAAACCTAACTGAAGTGGAGATGTTTTGTAAGGAGGAATGGTCCAAAATACCTTCATCCAGAATCCAGACACTCATTAGAGTCTATAGGAAGCGTCTAGAGGCTGTTATTTTAGCAAAAGGAGGCTCTACTAAATATTGATGTGATTTTTCTGTTGGGGTGCCCACATTTATGCACCTGTCTAATTTTGTTTTGATGCATATTGCACATTTTCTGTTAATCCAATAAACCTAATTTCACTACTGAAATATTACTGTGTCCATCAGTTATTTGATAGATCAAAATTAAATTGCTGATCCAAACACCCAATTATTTATAAATGGAAATCATGGAAATTGTCAGGGGTGCCCAAACTTTTTCATACGACTGTAAATATTGTCAAAGAAGTGTGGATCATCATTATTTGGTCCGTAAAGGTTAATGAGCCATATCTGTTTATGGTCCAATAACATATTTAAAATAATCCATCTACCTTGCGTATCTGTTTGGACAATTTGCACATTCGGATCAAAATTACTGTTAATTAATATCATCACCCCTTTTGAGTTTTTTTGCCCATGGGAGAAGTATATTTCGCCCCCCCATTCCTTTTTCCACACGACTTCATCTAGAATTGTTGAATGAGTTTCCTGTAAACAATAGATATTATATTCCTTCTCTTGGAGGCATGTAAATATTGTTCTTCTTTTGTTATTATCTGCTAAGCCATTACAATTATAACTGGCTATACTTATTTCACCACATACCATAATGGGATACAAGTTTCAAATCTAATTATCATTATATGTGTTTGTAAATGTACCAATAAAAAATACCATAGCGATTGACTGTCCATATAGCCGAACCATGATATTTACATTGCTACTAAGTAACCCTCCAATTGTTCTCCACTAATTCCCCCGCTAAAGCCCCTCCCCATCCCAAGTTGGGCCGTCATCCCAGTGTTCAGCATACCACCCCCGTCCCCCCGAATCCCTAGGGCCCCGAGAGGCCAGGACCCATCCATCGAAAACAGCACACAGTGCCACCCACAAAACAGAAGCAGGTCAACCGCCAAAAGCATTTCCAATGCTCTCACCTCAATATATATATATAGCTATTTAAAAATATATATCCATTCATATATCTTGCATATCTTATTTTCCATCATTTTCGATTAATATGCGTAATAATGTCAGCAGTTCATGCGTAGGATTTTAATCTATATCCCGGATTGCCATTGTATTACATTACATTTTTGACAAGCAATTATTATTTTAGCAAACAATTATTGTGGTTCATCCTATATTCTCCCTAACATCCTTACCCCCTTGCAACAGATGTGGGATAAACATACACGCACATACTCTAACACACTCAACCCCTTTCCTCCACAATCAACCATAAGATCAGATGCTCAATGGTTGTTACATCCCAGAGCCCAACTCAAGAAAGGACCTGATTTACGAATGCATATACAGTTACAGCTGTTTGAGAAAGCATGCAAGATTGACCAAAAATGGACAACAATGTGAGATTTGATTAATCTATTTAATCTATGTCAAGTCCTAGGTGATGGAGATCAGATCCACCCTCTTCCCCTGAGACACAAACACTCTGGTACCCCGTTGTAACCATTTTTCCCAAGCATCTCCGTGCAGTCAGACCTTTGATTATTTTGTGCCATTTGGGCCACAATAATAAGCCCCCTCTCTGATTGTCCGAGTGTGACCCCCTCCCCATGGGTTACTGCAGCCAGTGTTGCCAGCACTGCCACTACCTGGGTGGGGGTACCCCACCGGAATCCCCACCGGCTAGTTACAAGGTCGTCAAGGTCCTCATTAGCAGCTTTGAGAATTTTCTTGTATATTATGCTCTCCCAACAGGGGGCTCTGGCTTTGTAGGACCAACCCTGCCAGGCAGGCTCAGAATCTTGAGGGGGCGGTGCTGCTCAAGTAGGTCTCTGACCGCATTTCTTTTTCTGTTTAGGCTGCATATAGGCAACTCACAGCAGGTCCATAAAACAGATGGGGACTTCTCTTTGGTGTATGGGTCACTCAGGTGGGTGTCTAGGATATAGGGTTGGGGATCGTTCCATCATGATAGGACAATAAAAAAATAGATTAGATGTATACTATATTTTAAAATGTATATCCCTCATCTGCACAAAATTGAAAGCTCTCTCTCACAACCATTGCTCACAGACACACGTTGGTTCTGGGATATGCAACCATTTCCTTTCTCACTCACTTAACGCCACACTTATTCAAACACAAAAACGCACACCACACCTTCCATCACAATTCATCCACAAACACCCACATACTGTGCCTTCAATGTCTTCTGTTCGCTATGTTTTTATCTGCACTATGTTGATTGAGTACATGTGTTCTAATTAGTTGTATTTGAAGATGTATTATTTTGCTTGTTATCTTTTCTTGTAATACCGTTTTGTCCTTTTATAAAATACTATACATACTATAAATGTTCTTTATTATTACAATCCCTACCATGGCTAGTATTGGGTGCTCCATTATTCGACTCCTCTATTAGAACTTTCAGAATAGCCATGGAGTAGTCTTTGTGTCGCGGTACATTCGGTTGTCAATATACAGTTTATCGACAACGAGAGCAACACGCTTCCCTTTTAATCTATTTTCCTTGAAGATTGGGTACAGAACTTTGCGCCGTTCTGCAATCTCCCTCGGGAACTGATCATTCATTCCTATTTTGGTGTCAGCAAGTCTTTTACCTAGGCTTTTAACCATTACTTTATCCTTAAAAAAAGCAAATTTGGCAACGATTGGACGCTCATATCTCTGTCCTCTTTGTCCGAAATGGTGTACACGTTCTAGTTGGATTTTATCGACAGCCTCGAGTGGGATTTGAAGCGCTGTTAGAAAGAAGTCCTTCACAATAGTCTCGGTTACCTCTCCCTCTTTTTCCTAGATACCCGTAAGTACTATATTTTCTCCCCTCGATCTAGTTTGCATGTCTAGTAAGGCTTCTCTCAGAAAGTTTTTCTCCTTTTTAAGTTCCTTAACATCCGTTTCTATCTTAGTGACTGTCTCTTTTAGTTTTTTTGTATCTTTCTCCATTATCGCAGCTTTTCCATCACTCATTTCAAGACTAGCCTTCAACTCTTTTACATCATTACTGACCAACTCTAGTATGCCCAGTTTGTCATTTATTGACTTCAACAGGTCGCTTTTCTTTACCTATAATTAATTAGAAGATTTATCGATTCCTCCACCCATCCATCCACACCCACTAACTAAACCCTCGCCCATTACAAAACCCAATACACCAGACCCAATACCTTGGGTTTTAAAAAATCTTTGAAAAACAAATGGATAAAACGACTTCCAGTGGCTGAGGTCCTAAGAGGACACACACACATGCACATACAAACACACACAAGCACACACACACGCACCCTCACACACCCTCAAAATCCCTCACAGTTAAAGATGAGCCAGCACTGGGCTCTTGCAATTAATTGAGAACTGAGTGGAAGAGGGCAAGAACACCATCCATATTGAATTACATCTTAGTTGTTCATACTTGCAGATGCCTGCAGCCCTGTCATAGCCTGAGTGGATTTACCCTGCAGCCGCAGCGCAGTCCCACAGATGATGACCTCATCATAGCACTTCCTGTCCAACAGCTGGGGTTATGAGACACACATCTGTGGTCTCGTCGTTTTCACAATTCAAAAGTTTAATCAAAACAAGTAAAGACTGTGTTTTGAGACATGACATCATTAGTATACAACATTAAACCATTAACTTAGGTTATAAAACCTGCGTAACCGTGTTATAAACATGTCATAGCATATTCATGACAGTTTATGGTGAATAAATTAGCATTGCTGACTTATGAGGCCATTTAGGATAGCTCAATTAGGTCACATAGTGATTAGCTCATGGAAGATTGCATACAGTCACCTCATTGTGTTGTAGAGCAATTCCCCTTGGATTAATGAGGACTATAATTAAGTCATTATATTTATTATAGTAATATAGGGGCTTCAGACGGATGGTCACAGACATTGTGTGGTTAGTGGTTAGGTACTTTTTAATTGTGTGTGTGTTTGTTTGTGTGTGTGAGTGTGTGCGTGTGTGCTTGCACACATTTGTGTGCGTGTGTATGTGTGTATGTGTGTGTGTGTGTGTGTGTGTGTGTGTGTGTGTGTGTGTGTGTGTGTGTGTGTGTGTGTGTGTGTGTGTGTGTGTGTGTGTGTGTGTATGTGTGTGTGTGTGTGTGTGTGTGTGTGTGCATGCGTGTGTGATTGTGTCACCTCACCAGTCAATAACTGGGAAACCCCTTTGAGTGTACATGAGTGAGGTATCTCTTTGAGTAATGTAAATGTGTGGCAATGTTGTGCTGTGTATATGTGGTTGAAGTGGTTGTTTGTGTCTCCAAAACAGTGGATACTAGAGTGACTAACAGTAAGCTGAGGTGACTGACACTGGACTCACCAAGGTCTGGATGAACTGATTGTGATACAGTGGTGGTGAATGCTTCCTCCCTGACGGAATGGGAACTTACATTCTTTCCTGTCTACTGTAAGAACTGGATCCACAGAAACAGGGTTAGATACATAAGGTTATCAGCACAAGTCAATATATTGTATTATACACAAATTCTAGTGGTGAATTCTGTTTTTCATTAAGTTTGCTGTACAATATCAAGTTCAAAGTAAAAATAATATTCAAAGTAAAAACTATAAAACAAAAACACTTTGTGGCAGAATAGAGGCCATTTAATGTGAATATGCTAATGAGAAAGCAGGTGTTCTCCCGTGGCTTGGGATCACCTCATCAGATGGACAATGAATCCTTTGAGTTTGACAGTGGCTCCAGCCAGGACCCAATCAAGTTATATTACTGGGGAGGCCCAGTAGAAGGGCAGCATAAATCTCATAACTTCATCCTTCCCTTAGACAGCCTAATCATTGTTCCGGTATGAAAAGAGATGTAGACCCTTAACACAAGCTGAATAGTACTGGATTCCTACTGCATCGACTAAAGAGATCATTATCACTGAGTTCTTGAGTGGTAAAATGGTTGATGGGCTGTATTGTACAATTGTGTAAAGTTATATACAAACAAAATATTTCAACATTTTATAAACAAATAGGCCTACAGGATAGTGAAGATTACGCACGAAACTGTAATCAATTAAACAGGTACTGTATGTTGTTCATGTGAATAGGAATAATTACCTTTCTGATTATCGTCGTTCACATTTCTCGTAATTAACGTTTCATATCCAGGGTGTACCATTCGCTGGAATCAAAGTGAAACAAAGTTAAAGTTTGCATGGTTAGTCTACTTTGTTGCCAAATTACGCACGCAAAAATATGCCTCTCCAAACGGTTCACTGGTTGCGCTCCAGAAGAACTGCAATAATTGTAAGAAATAACTTTTTTAAACTTCACTTACCGTCCGTGCACTGAGAACATACGGTAGGGAAAGTAACACAAAGTATAGCATCATAATATTTTGGTTTGTTTGGTCTCTGACTTAGATATCATGTGCAAAATGTTTAGAAGTTAATTTCCTGAAGCAGGTCCGTTAGGTAAACGTTGTCACGTTTTATCTGTCAATTCCAGAGAACTCAGCCTGCTTTTGCTCATTGAGAACGTGGGACATCCTGCAAGAGCGATACTGTACTCTGTAAACTCAAACTCTATTGAGTAAATCCATTTCGTCATTAGACAGACTTTTCGGTTATGGTAATTATTCTACGCAAAACATCGAACGTTTTCCCTCACGAGACGCCCATGATGAAACATGCAAGATCTTGAAAGAGCGGATCTTTGATGTAATGGAAAGTAACCTTTAGGCGGATGGGGGCGGGGGCGGGGGCGGATGACGGTGCGGGATCCCTCCTCTCGATCTGTGCTTGGTCACCATGCAGCGTCCCAGAGTTGTTAACATTCCAAGTGCACCGTGCTGTGGCAAGAATACCCCCTGTCCCATAACCAAGCCTCTAATTTTCCAAGGTTGCAATATATGACATCCCTGCAGATGCTATGGTAAATTACACAATGAGACCTAATCTTACAAGACTTTCTGACAGCTTACAAGACTGGTTAAAAAATGGGTTTATAATGTGTGGCTCCAATATGAAATTGTTCACTTTAATGATAACTAACACTGTTAATAATTTACCATTCTGACCAACTGGGCAAACAGATTGATAAGACAAAACACACTAAGGAGAATTTTGGAATGTGAAAATCTTATAAACCAAATGATAAGGGTTTTACAGGTCTATCTTTGAACCAGGTTGGGTATCAAGGATTTGCATTCTAAAAATGTTTTATTTAAAGCTAAATTCAAGGGGCAATCTGGGATTTGTACATCCATTGTTGGATGAAATTAATGATACATAGTCATTGATTCTTGAAGAATATAACTTATAAACGCCTCATGAGCTTAGTTCTACTGTCATTCCTCCATCAGTTGGGGTTGTTTGAAATCCCAGATTGCACCTTTAATTTAATCTTTCAACATTGGACTCCATACCATACAAAAATCTAAATGACTAACTACAGAGGCTTCCATGCTGGAATTACAAAGGTAGGCATGTTTATTGAGTGGAATTTGAACAATAACCAAACATGAAGCCAATCATAATACTGTAATGAGACGTTTACAGATATGAAGATGGATCATATGTTGTTCACCATGAAAGCGTGGAATAAATGACGAGAATAATACAGTAAAATGTACTAGAGTTGCGAGGAGTTTCTCATGTTCCTAAAATTTGTGAATCCTATCCTATCTACCTGAAAGAGGCAAAGTTCTATAGCCCCTGCCTTGCAGTACCTACAGTATCAGCAACCATGTTTTAAACAAGGTAGCCTATCCCCTGATAAATTCCCAAACAGTTATTTATTACCAAATCTTTCATCAATCTGAACTGGCAATTCATTTGCTTTTCATCACTTCTTGAAAATGTAAACCCACTAAACACACACCAGAGTAATGTTCAATAATACAATATCTATCACCAAAACAATTATTATACATTCTATCAGTTCTGGAGTGAAAATCAATAGCTTTTTACAGTTAAAGTCCCTCGTTTGTCAAGTAAGATCCTGTTTGAACAGACAGTGACTCAAGCTTGAAAAGTGCTGGTGAAGGTTGCTCAGCCTCACAGCTCACACGATTGTGGCCTTGTACATGTCAGTCTTGGAGTCTTGGATCCCCTCTGATTGGTCGTGGGCGTTGAGGGGCACCTGGGAGGTCTTCATCCGGCTCTGGCACTGCCGGAGCTCGGTGGCGTACCCTTGGAAACTGAGACTGAGCTCGGAGTCTTCTCCCCGGATGATGGTGACCTCCCCCACTTTATCCCCCTCCTCCTCCCCCTCCTCTAGACACACTCCCTCCACGTCCATCACCTCCTGCAGGGCTGGCTGAGAGCGTAGTGCTCCAAGACACGGTGCCCTCTTGTGGGAGCAGTCAAGATCACATGCTATTTTTCTTCTCTCTGGGTAAGGAAGGGAGAGATGGGAGAATTAGTAATGGAAGGATGTGCCATTGGAAGAATCTCAATTGCATTCTCCTCGAGTCCTCTCTCCTCGCCTCCTCAGAACCCATTGGAGGAGAAGATCAGAGGGGCGGGTGCTCTGGCTTTCCCATCCAATGGGTTTTGAGAAGGTGGCGAGGAGAGAGGATGCGTGGGGTATGCAATTGAGATTCTCCCACTGTGTTCCAGCTGAAGTATTCGCCACAGTGGTCAACAAAGAGGATGAGTACCAATACTTCCCAGCCTTGAGGCCTCCAATCTACCATGAGTTAATATAATTGCTAATCAGTGTTGGGGAGTAGTAAACTACATGTAGTTCAACTAGTAATTTAACTACAATTTCCAGTAGCTTGTTGGTAGTTGAACTAAATTGAAATCTTGGTAGTGTTTTCAGTAGTTAACTTTTTTTGCCATGTAGCGGTTTAGCTAACTACTGAACTAATCACTGCTAAGAAAATAATATATACTGTAGGTGATATCAGACCTGCCTAATTCTCACTTGAAACACATAGTTTTTTAGTTTAATAGGCAAAATTACATTCTGTTAACATATGACCCCAAAGTGAACTGTTCTTGCAAATTATAGTCGATGACATTTCAGATTTACATATGAAAATTTTTCACAAAGTAGTTTGGATGTAGTGGAGTACTTTTTCAAAGTAACTTCAGTTAAGTAAACTATGTTTTTCTTAAGGGTAGCTTTAGTACCCCAACACTGTTGCTAATGATTCACTGATGGGTTATTACAGTGCCTGTGGAATGACTGGTCTAACACCTGCCTCAGTGAAATGTACAAAGTCTTTCAGAGGATCAGATCATCTGTGTTATAATCAGTGTAAAGTAGAGTCATAGGGTCACCAGTGCCTTCCCACTGGGAACACACTGGTTGAATCAACGTTGTTTCCACAAGATTTCAATGAGTGACATTGAACCAACGTGGAATAGATGCTGAATTGACGTCTGTGCCCAGTGGGTTGTCTTGACATACGCCCTTTTTTGGTGGTAGAAGACAAAAAGAGTGAACAGGGGAACTAAGGGGAGGGGAGAAAATCCAGACACAACCTTTTAAGAAACCCTCCGGAAGAGCTTTTTCCATCTCCATTATGATGAAGCTCTGACCCTTGAAATGCAGTATGTCCATTGAGCTGATCTCAGAGCAATGACCCGTGGGTGTCAAAGCATCAGGCTCAGAGTATTTGGCTTGATGGCTTCTGTCCCAGGACCAGTTCAGATCATTGCGCCCTATGATCTAACAACATGAAACCATTTCAACCATATAAAGGACTGTGCATGCCTTTCAGCTTGTCCGCTTGGCTTCAAAAGAACAAATTGAAACTGTTTAACTTATTGGTTATTCATTAGGTCCACTGTGTACTGTGCTCGACTACTATGGTCTAGACATGTTGGATGTCAACCAAACGTGGCACTTGTGCGAAAAACTGAGCAGTGTTGCATTGATATGATGATACACTATCAAAACAGAGGTACATAATATAGAACTTTATCAAAGGTGCATTTTTGGATCCAGATTGAAGTCTGTAGTCACAATGGAGCTATGTCACTATGGCCATGGCACATTTCAGTGAGGTTTTTTGGCTCTATTTTTATCTTGACAAGTGTTGACAAGAGTGACTATCACAGATTGAGAAATAATATCTGCACTGACGCCAGTGTACGTAATGAGACATGACATTAGAGGAATTGGTTCTAGAGTGCGTTGACTCATACAGTTCTGCTGTGACACTTCTCTATTATATTGAGAGAGTGTGAGTCGAGTCTACAGATGTAGGATCTTAATTTGATCACTATTTTGTTGCTGAGAATGTTCCTACTAAGCAGAAAATGCAAACTTGTAGTGTATTTTGAGTTTTTAAAAGGCTTCTTAAGTTTGTAATTTCCACTTTGACATTTAAGACTCTTTTTGCCCTAACAATAAAAACGTATCAACCCCTACAAACATTTCCATTAATCATAATCCACATAATAATTCACATTTCCTGTTGCTACAGGATTATTTTCCTGCTGTAGCAAATTGGCTCAAATTAAGATCCTACATCTGTAAGTCATAGCGAGTACAGAAAGGGTTCTGATACTTGTTGTTACTATGGGTTCATGAGATGAACTAGAACAGTCCAACCACCTTCAAAACGTCTGTTCACTTATGAACTCATGATATGTTAGTGTCCAATTTCCAGTATCCAGTCTTTCAAACTCTGATATTACAGTTTCAATGAGTAAGACTTCTCCTCATCCCTCCTGCAATCTGTGGCCCTTAAACAAGAGGTCTAAGTGACTCCAACACATACACCCTTTGAGCTCCTACGCCTCTGATTCACAGAATCAAAGCAGTATTATAAACACAACCTCCACGTCGTTCCCCTTCTCACAGCTGAACACACACAGCAACCTCTTTGCCAAGTGTAGGCCTACTTCAAAAGTTGATGTGCTCAATATTATCTCATGAAGCTACTTCAAATAATAATCAACATAAAATTATTACAGTGGGAATTATAAGGAAGTATATTGAGCGATTGAAGTGGTTTGGAATAAATGTCTATCTCTCATTACAGAGTTGAGCTAAGAGGTGTAATTCCTGTCTTAGCACTGCTTTTAACATGAGCCTGCTGGCTGTCGGTCGGGTGTCTTCTGTCAATGTACTATGGCACCAGACTAGCCCAGACAGACCAGCTCTTCCCAGGGCCAGTTTGGAACAGAACCAGCTACACAGCTCAGACTGGCTGAGATCAGCCTCAAGGCTCCCTGGTTGCTGCCAGATTGATGACAAAACAGACTGAGGGTCAGCCGTATCCAGCTTTCAGGTGTGTCAGCCAGACTGCTTCCCAATGTTCCCTACATAGTGGAATACTTTTGACCAGAACCCTAAGGGTCCTGGTCAAAAGTAGTACACTATATGGAGAATAGATTGCCATTTGGGAAGCAGTCAGTGAAATCTAAAGTGAGACTAAAGAAGATTCGAACCACCACGTCCCTCAGGCACTCAATCCTCACAAAGTTCACAAAATTCTGAATCAGTGTACGCTATTGACGTTTATTTTTGGGGGTATTACGATTGTCACCTTTTAATTTTGTTGTTATGGAGTAGCTGCAGTGGGTTGAACGCTAATCCCTGTGCCTAAGTGGTTGATTGCATTTGAAAGTATAAAAGCTGTTCTAATTTCTGGATATGGGCAATGACAAATCAGTCCCATTTATGCAAACGTTTGTGTGAGAGGCCAATGATATCACAAAGTCTTAGAATCAGGACCAGTCACTATACAAATCAAATTGTATTTGTCACTTAAACAAATGTACATTTTACATTTTTGTAGACGCTCTTATCCAGAGCGACTTACAGTTAGTGAATGCATACATTTTTCATACTGGCCCGCCGTGGGAATCGAACCCACAACCCTGGCGTTGCAAGTGCCATGCGCTACCAACTGAGCTACAGGAGGCCTTGATATGATAAATACAGTAAAGATATGCCCTAGTATGGTAGATTAGGTTATTAATGCCTTAAATGCTAGTGCTTAAATCCAGAACGCCGCAGCCCGTCTGGTGTTCGACCTTCCCAAGTTCTCTCATGTCACCCCGCTCCTCCGCACACTCCACTGGCTTCCAGTTGAGGCTCGCATCTACTACAAGACCATGGTGCTTGCCTACGGAGCTGTGAGGGGAACGGCACATCCTTACCTTCAGGCTCTGATCAGACCCTACACCCAAACGAGGGCACTACGTTCATCCACCTCTGGCCTGCTATCTCCCCTACCTCTACGGAAGCACAGTTCCCGCTCAGCCCAGTCAAAGCTATTTGCTGCTCTGACACCCCAATGGTGGAACAAGCTCCCCCACGACGCCGGAAAGCGGAGTCACTGACCATCTTCTGGAGACACTTGAAACCCTACCTCTTTAAGGAATATCTGGAATAGTATAAAGTAATCCTTCAACCCCCCCTATAAAAAATAAAATAAATAAAGTGGTTGTCCCACTGGCTATCCTAAGTTGAATGCATGTTGAATGCGTCTTCTAAATGATGTCAATGTAAATGTAGTGGAGGAACAGTTATACTATATACTGTCGCCCTCTAGTGGACAAGAATATTAATAAAACAAATAATTACCAATACATGTTAATCTGACCAGATGCACAACCATCATTTGATTTAAACATGGAAAGGAAACATATTTCAAATGTTATGTGGAGTGACCCTAGCAGACCTGAGTGTTTGGTTTTCAACATAAGTTTACGTTAATGCTGTAGTCAGGGATTGAATTGGGATATCCTATAGGAGCTGACCCCAGAATCACTCTGTCTGAGTGCCAGTCTGTTGATGCCATCATGCCAACTCCCTGTCACACTCATTGTCATACAAACATGTTTGGCTTGACAATGACAGCAATTGAGTAGGCAAGAGCATAAACAGATCTGGGACCAGGCTAAGAATCACTAGCTTTTTTATCCTAAACTTGAACAGATACAGTGAGGGAAAAAAGTATTTGATCCCCTGCTGATTTTGTACGTTTGCCCACTGACAAAGAAATGATCAGTCTATAATTTTAATGGTAGGTTTGTTTGAACAGTGAGAGACAGAATAACAAAACAAAAATCCAGAAAAATTCATGTCAAAAATGTTATAAATTGATTTGCATTTTAATGAGGTAAATAAGTATTTGACCCCCTCTCAATCAGAAAGATTTCTGGCTCCCAGGTGTCTTTTATACAGGTAACGAGCTGAGATTAGGAGCACACTCTTAAAGGGAGTGCTCCTAATCTCAGCTTGTTACCTGTATAAAAGACACCTGTCCACAGAAGCAATCAATCAGATTCCAAACTCTCCACCATGGCCAAGACCAAAGAGCTCTCTAAGGATGTCAGGGACAAGATTGTAGACCTACACAAGGCTGGAATGGGCTACAAGAC